AGTTTTGCAGCATGGTGCAGAGACCTGGAAAATTACATCGCCATTAATTATTAACAAACTCCAAGTTTTCATAAACAGCTGTCTGCGAGGGCGAAGCGGCAACAATATCGCTGGCAGAGCTATTGAGTGGAATCCACAAGGCAGTAGAAGAACTGGTCGTCCAAGACATACATAGGACAATTAAAAAGGAGACTGAATCAGTAAACCGATCATGGCAAAATGTCAAATCAATTGCCAACAACCGAACCCGCTGGAGAGCGTTTATTGAAGCCCTATGATCCACGTAGAAGTAAAGGACAAATTGAATGAAACAAATATACAAAAAATAAAAATACAAAAATTAAAGACACTAATAAAATAATAGCAATAATTAATGAAACAAAATTTGCAAAAAAAATAAATTAAAACGGAGAGCCTTTATTGAAGCCTTATGATCCACGTAGACAAAATTAATAAAATAAATACACAAAAAATAAACAATACAAAAATTAAAGACACACAAAAAAAGGAAAAAAAAATAACAATAATTAATGAAACTAAAAATAAATTACAGTTTATTTGCAATATTTGCAAAAAAAAATAAATTAAAACTATTTGTATTCCCAAAACATAGAACAGAATGATAAAACACAAAGGAAATACCAAGACCATCATTGTTAATTTATAAAAATAAAATATTTTATCATCACACCTATATTTATTCTTGACGTGCAGTATATTATCCAATAAAATATCTGAAAATGTTTTATTTATGACACAGCCTATATCCTGCAGAATTCCCTGACTATGTCTGATCTGTACTTGTACCGTAATTAAATTTAAAAATTGCAAAAGTACCAACCACCGTCCTGGAATATAAATGATGTTTTTCTTGGCGACATTTTTAGATGGTTTTTGTTAGATAACTATACCCAGAGTCCTATATATTTTTATAATAGTTAGTTCAGTGATTCTTGGACGTGTTTTGAATAGAATATTGGCAGAGAAAGTTGTTGATATTGTAATTTCGATTTTTCTTTTACTTATCTCCATACTTCCGTATTCCTTCTTCCGCCTATATACGTATTAATTTCTTTGCATTTGTCATCCCACACTTTATTCTTTTCTTCTTTTACCATTCTCCTCACCTCATTTTTCTTGTCATTATAAGTGCGCTTGTCTAGTTCAGATTTCGAATTTAGCCATTTCAAATACAGTATCTTTTTAATATATCTAAAGAAGAAAGCATTTGATCGATGTGTACTACCAGTTATGACCTATGCATGTGAAACCTGGTCACTTAAAGCGGATATCATAAGGAAACTGCAGGTGGTACAACGCTCAATGGAACGAAATATGCTGGGAATAACCAAGACAGACCGTAAAAGAATAGAGTGGATACGACAAAAGAGAGACCCAGGTAATAGATGTCATTGACAGAATCAAAAATCTCAAGTGATAAAAGGCCGGACACCTGGCAAGAAGGACGGACATCAGAACACAAAAATTACAGCATGACATTCAAGAGGAATTAAGAGACCTAGAAGAAGACCAATTACCAAGAAAATTAGCGAGGATAGCTAGCAATAGTTAACAATAGTCAGCAATGGGAGAAATTTCAGGGAGATTATCTAGCTATGTGAGGGATGATGATGATATGAATGATGATTTAATTTATATTGAGTGTGAAATTATAAAATAATAATTAATTGTTTAATTAATTAATAATAACAATAAGCAAAATATTTTAACGCCACATTTACGTACACAATTAATAATCTACTACTACAATATTAAAGTAAGTTTTTTATAGACAAATTTATTCACGCTGGTATTGTTATTACATGCTGACTACAAAGCTATTATATCTGAAAAGTATGAATTAAACATGATTTAATAATTGTTGTATTCTACCGCTTCATTTTAGCTAGATATGCATTTATTGACACCTGTCGTGTTTTATTATGAATGAAATGCCAGGTCCTTGAGACTGAAATTACATTTTTATTGTCATACCATTCTTTGAGCATAAATAAAATGTACTCATGGTGTAATTTGTTAAAAATAACGGCTTTTAAAATAAAAATGATAGTTATTTTTTATACAAGACGATATAATGTATTTTATCGTCGTGTATAAAACACAATAAATTAATAAAATTGAAAGAATAATGTTACAAGTAGATCAAGAGACAAAATTAATTATAACAAAACTGAAAAAAATGGCGTCATAGATGGCTTAGAAATGAAGATATATATGATAATTTTGAAAATAAAATTATATGGGAAATGTCATCGATCATCATTTTTAAGCCAACTGGACGATTATTTCAAACATACAAGCTGAGTTCGTCCATAGTGCTCTGAGAAATCTAGATAAACAAAGAATAATAAATTAAAAGTATTCCAGGGGAAAAGAGAGGAAAAACCTGTATCGCCTCTGATATCTGTCAGGGTATTGTTGAAAGTGTCATATTTTTGCTCGAAGTTTCCAGGTCGATCAAAAAGATGACATTTACAACAATACTTTGCCGTAACTTTCACAAATATCAGAGAGAGTACAGGTATTGCCTCTGTTTTCCTCTGGGATGCTTTATATCTGTTATTCTGTGTTTATCTATATTTCTCAGAGCATAATGCCGAACACGACTACAGTATATAATAATTTCAATATCCTAAGTGGAAAGAAAAAAATCATCTTTCTATTTTGTACTATGGTCCCTTTCTTCCGATGGCTCATCTCGTTGATATTTAGGAAGGTATCCATAAAATATATATTTTACTATCGATCCTGGGATGAAAAAATATAAAATTCAATTTGATGATCCTTTTCTGTCACCTAAATCAGGAGAATGACAATGAGCATGTTAAGATGAAAAAAAATTATTTATCAACACTTTTACCTACACGTTAGTCCGAGGAGTTTTATCAAAAACCTATATTTGCCTAAATAATTTATGTATTAAATTTGCAAAGCAAACTGCAGCAAGTAAACAAAAGAAATAAAATGGCGACAAGTCAACGTCAACGACCCGACAAGGAGAAAAGTGGTGTTCGCATAACAAATTATGGGTCACAAAAAATTGTTTTTGTCTCCTTTCAACGCACACTTTAGAAAGAAAAAGAGATGACCTGTAATACTGAAAGAACGTCAAGGTTTTATCTGTCACTCTTGTCAATAATTTATCGGTAAGGAAGATTCCTAGAAAATCGCTTGTAGTCAAGTTTTGAACTATTGCCAGTTCTCCCATAAGAAGTGTCATCCATCTGGATGGGATACTGAAAAAAAAAACAAATAAATCCGCCATTTAGCGCCACCTGGTGTTTCGGAAGAAACTAATGGAGAGTTTTGGCATGACATAATTTTAGCGTTCCGTTACTTATTAACACTAACTAAAGCGGTAACGTTATTCAAGTGCAAAATTATCTCTTGTAAAAATAAAATAATAAATATACACTTTTTTACTACATTTTATGTTTTATTAGATAATTAGAAGTGTAACATAGTCAAAACAAAAATAAAATTATGAATACTATCTATATATACATATCGCCTATTTTTTGATTTAACAATACCCAACTCTTTGCTTAGAGTGAGTATATTTATCTTTAAAAAGTAAAAGTATTTTTTCTCGTTAAAGTAAAACCCAAAACAACAGAACGTCTGTGGAAACAATCATTTGCATAAAACATCGAATATATTTGGTTAAAACATATCCGGTTTAAAGGTCAGAGTAAAAGTATTTTTTCCTTTACAGAAAAACCTTCTCAGATGTCAAGATATTTTATTACCGGAACGCTAATAACATAAAAATAACATTGGATTTTTCGTGAATATTTTGGCAGCAAGGTCGATTGAATTAGTAGGCATATATCTAACAAAACTATGAAATTTGAGAAACATATTTTAAATAAATAAAAGAAATAAGTAACCTACATCAGAGCTGCCATGCGTTCTTGTGTTCAATTATTTAGATTCCAAAAATCAACGTTCAAAAAGAATTTTAATGACTGCTTAAGAAGGAAGAGTTGATATTTTTAATTTTTTAAAAATGTCCTGGAAATGAGTTCTGCTGTTTAGTCCCAGTGAATATTGAACAGCTCTCTTCTCGAGCTTAAAGATGCAGTCAAATTGAGTGGCACAACATGTACCCCAGAATGGAAGGGCAGATCTGAGGTGCGACTCAAAAAGTGCATAATCAACAGTTCTAGGCACTGACAAGTTAAGCTCCTTAGAAACAGATCTTGATGCAAAACAGGCAGAGCTTATTTTTTTCGACGAAGTGTCCCATTTCAGAGAATTTTTAGATGGTTTTTGTTAGATAACTATACCCAGAGTCCTATATATTTTTATAATAGTTAGTTCAGTTATTCTTGGACGTGTTTTGAATAGAATATTGGCAGAGAAAGTTGTTGATATTGTAATTTCGATTTTTCTTTTACTCAATGACTTTAAAAAAGAAGTAAAAAAATAAAATATGTTGTATAGACGTCACTGTTCAAATTGTGCACACATATTTACTGATCTCTACTCTCTATCTGTAATTAATTAAATTTAAGAATTGTCTACAACAAGCCCGAAGAATTTTACAGATTTTACGACGTCAATGGTGGTGTTGTTAAGTACAAAATTTATTACTCTTCAAAACAGTTAAAATACATGTAGTTGGCGCCCTCTACAAATAAGAGTTATATTGACATCAAAATCAAATTTCTCATGTCAAAAAACTCCCAGACACCAATTTTCATCCAAATATTGACATTACTTCAGAAATTATTTGGAAAAAATCGAAATAAAATGAAAGTTCTACACCCTGTATCTCCGAAACTAAGCATTTTAGGACATGCATTTATACGAACGTTTTTACTTATTTTTATCTGTAGAGTATGCTGCCGTGTTTCCGGAATACAGTTCGGACCACCCGGTATATTATGAAAAAAAAAACAACTTGATGTGGACGTTATAGCAGATTATTAGAACTTTGAGGCAAATATTTTTTTAATGATATTTTTTTGTTTCAGTGGTCTCCTTTCCTCACAACGCGAAGTAGCTATGATTTCGGAAATGATTCACACAGCCTCATTGGTACACGATGACGTCATCGACCAATCGGATTTCAGAAGGGGGAAACCTAGCGTCAACGTAATGTGGAACCATAAAAAGGTAAATGAATTTAAAATATCATAGCATACAAGAACTTATAGATTTAAGAAAAGGATAGGACTGGACAATGTAACCTAATAGTCTAAGAGCTAGCAACGTTTTCGAGAAAGTATTTTAAGACGTCTGGCTCTTTGATATATCTTTTTCTATGCTCTCTGGAACAGCATGCGGCCCAGCTGGCTTCCGATACCCGTTGCGTTCATTACTGCGCATCGGAAGAAGATCCTATATATTTTTTTTTTAATTTAGTCCTATATAGAGTTCGATTCCGGGTCAGGGCAAAGACTTTTTTTATTTTATTTTCGTTTATATTCTGATAGTAAAGTATTAAATAATTCTGGTGATTAAAAAAAACAAATATTTAATACTTTACTATCAGAATATAAACAATAAATAAAATAGGCGGAACCTCTACGCGCTGAGCTATGGAAACTCGGTCGGTTTATATTCAATTCTAGAATTTAAAGGACTAATAAAAATATAGGATCTTCTTTCAATGCGCAGTAGGGAACGCAACGTTTACCCGGCAACCAGACGGGCCGCATGCTGTTCTAGAGAGCATAGTAAAAGATTTATCAAATAGCCAGACGTCTTAAAATACTTTTTTTTCCGTCGTTGCTAGCTCTCGTACCACAAATTAACTTTAACTGATGCGAAAGAACACCGAATTCCGCGTTCAGGTTTCTGTGACCTTCAGAAAGAGTTCATAGACAATCCGCATCAATGTGTAGTTTGGGTTATTATTTGTTTGGGTGAAAATAATCTGCACCAATATGTTATCGAGGCATATAATCTCACAGTAATTTAATAGATTACTCGTCATATTATATCAGTTCGTAGGAGATTAGGGGAAAAAAAGATATTTATAGTATAAAAAAATTAATTTATTTAACAAAATTTAATTAAAGATGTGACAAAATAGTTACTTTTCTATTGGTTCTATCGGACTTTTTCGATTATATAAATCTTTATTTGTAAACTTTAATGCATAAAATATTTTTCAATCTAATAAATAATTTAATGATGTAAATAAGAGGAAATTTCTCACATGGTTGGTCAAATTCTATAGTTTTTCATTATATCAAACAGCCTCTGAATGTTTTCTTCAGTGCAAAACTCATCAAAATTTAATATAAATAATTTTTCCAGCCTGTAAATAAAATGAACAAATTTTTCCACTTTCAGGATCAAAGGCTTTTAAATGGGTAAATAATTTCGAGTTATCCAGAGATTCGGATTCTTTTGCAAATTTTAGACAAATATCACATTGATGTATTTGAAGACCCTTTTTAATGATGTAGTCAAACAAAATTAAAGGCATTTTGAGTTGAAAACATTTCTCAGAGGCTGTTTGATATAATGAAAACTACAGAATTTGACCACCCATGTGAGAAATTTCCTCTTATTTACATCATTAAATGATTTATTAGATTGAAAATATTTGATGTATTAATGTTTACAAATAAAGATTTATACAGTCGAAAAAAGTCCGATAGAACCAATAGAAAGGTAACTATTTTGTCACATTGTTAATTAAATTTTGTTAAATAAATTAATTTTTTATACTATAAATATCTTATTTTTCCTTATAAATAAATTTATTTGTATCCCATTTTAAATAAGATATACAAATTACCAAAACTTAGAAATAACAGTTCAAAAGTTCAACAAAAATCCTACACGCGTTTTTAAAAAGAAACATATAACCACGCACTATGTCACTCCAGCAAGCGAATACGACACAGCATGGGTTTCCGGACTAAACGACTGGTGTATTTACACCACTCAATAGGCGTGTCGGGTTTGCCGAACGGTTTCCGATGCAGTCGCTTTCTTTCGCATCTGTTATAGGTAATTTGTGCTCGTACTATAAGGATCAGAATAGGACCACAATACATCTGAAAAGATTGCGGTGGAACAAGCCGATGGCCACCTTAATATCTATACAATGCTTGCTTGCTCCTTTTTTGCATATCATCTAACAGTATTTTTTTATTAGTTTTGGTGTGAAATTTTACACTACCGTCGTTTTTATGAATACCTGGTTGGACATAACTTATATTTTCTATAATCATCTTTCTACCTACATAAATCAAATATTAATGTTTGACCAAGTAATAAAATATAATACTATGCCAATATTAAAGGAGGTAGATAATTTATAACACATTAAAAAATACTTAAAGTGGTGACCTTGACCTAAAATCGTTTAAATGTCAATTAGCTTGAAGTAATGCACCTACAATATCATATTATGAGTTATTTACTTTAAGAAGATGGATTGGTAAAGTAACTTTATAACTCATAGAGGTGGATTGCTTCTTTTTCATTTAATACTTCATTACTTTTACAATATTGCTGTTTGTTCTTTAGAGAGAAGTACTCGAAATTGCTTGCAGTTTAGAATTTAATCGAATATATTTTTTACTTGCAAGAAATATGTGTATTGTTTTATATCTAAGCATGTTCGGCATTGTCTCTGTAAGCAGTACATTTCAAAACTTTTATTTCACCTAGTTTTTAAAAAACATCGCCAAAGACGACTGGGCTTGACCCCGCCAAAACTGTCACCGATTGTCATTTCGCAGCCGATGATTTTTTTCGATCAAATGGTATTTTTATGTTTCATTCAGTATTTTTATCGGTCATTGTACGAATGTGTATGTAAATGAATTAATAATAGTATAAACAGTATTTATCCACTATATGATTAGTTCGAAGATTTCCTAACATAACCTTTAGAACTTCGTGCAGAAAAGGAAGAATTTATGCTAAACGTTGCCTCGAGAAAAAATGCTTTTCGTGACCGAGGAAGATTTTTAAAGAAAACTTTTAAATACATGCTTAATATGTTTTAATTTATCATTAGTTCTGCATTATTATTAAGATAGAAATACGTAAACAAACCTTATAACGCTTCTTGGTGTAATAATCCATATTACAAGACATTATTATACAGGTTGATTCACGATATCATTGATTGAAAGAATTGGGAAGATGCGCAACCTAATGGGCGAATTCGTGACAAGGCTGATTTGATGTCCCCTTACATCTCAAATGCTGTACGGTGGAGACACCAATCGTTCTGCGGCCAACGCATAAAACACTGATTTCCTCTAATTCGGCGAAGACATATTGAAGACGGTGTGGATATGAAAGCCACAATGTTGCCATATTAAAATGTGTAATATCTGTAATATGTTTGACGAAAATATCTTTGGATGAAAAATGCACGTTTATGTATTTAAAATTGATTCGTTTTAAACATAGAATAAACAACAAAAATAAAAACTTTTAAATATGTCGTATGATCGAAAAAAGTCGTTTAGTTGGCTTGGGAATGATAATTATTATTGACATTTACCATAATATTTTATACTTATTAAATAACAGCGATCTTTATTTCCAAGCCAACTCTGACGCCGTTTTTCGTTTAATCATATATTAAATATTAAATCGTTTTATGATAGAAAATCCGTATTATTAACGTACTGTACCCAAAATCCGTTAATCTACGGATTAATCAGTAGTTCTGACAATACTGTCTCCGGCAACATCTGACTCTGTTGACTGAAAGCAGAACTACGGTTACAGTATTCTTTATCTGCTGCGCTGTAAACGACAGCGCGCAGCGGCGCAAAGCTAAACTAAATCTCGGAATTCTCGAACAGGCTGACGGTAACGCCAGCTACATCTCGGATAGGATTTTTTTTGAAAATTATTTTATTTATTTTGTGTTTTATTAAGTATTCCCTAAATGTCCTTAAATGCAAAACAAGCGGTATTTCTTTCGTCAATTGTCCATACCGCCGGCGGGAATTTAGCCAGTTTGTTTTTTAAAACCAAAAGTTGAAGTATTACTACTTGTGCGTGCGTGGTCGTCTCAAAGTTGCGATAAAAAAGCCGGCCAAACATCTTCTTACGTAACGTATCTGCACATGCAACGAGATATTACTGCCCTAGACACACTTATATGCCGATGATTTCCTAACAACTCAAACAGCCAGTTATAAGTCGTATTATTAAAAGAATTACAGCGTGTGCTTTTAATGGCATTAGGATCTCAAGCGTCGCAGGTTTAAAGAGTATCCGCTAACCTTTTGCGAATCGGTTAATGACAGCTTAATCTTTTAGCTAGTTATTAGTGTTGTTAGGTTTTATTAAAGTTAATTTATAATCTGGGAATTTAATTGATGCATAATAATGACAAATAGTTTATAGTTATTTTTTTATACAAGACGATAAAATGGTATTTTATTAGTGAATTAATTTCGGGAGACGATAATGCAATTTTATCGTGGTGTATAAAATAATATTTTCTCCACAGCAAGTTACGTTTTAAAAAATATTCAGATATTATTATTTCAAAGAATTTATTACGAGTAGAAAAATGATTGTACTGGGCTGGCGTTGGTTTCTATGTAATTTGACAAATAAATAAAGCTGTCTCTTTAGTTGTCAGTTTTGAGTCAATATTTTTTAATTCTCTTTCGTGTCGATTGCTGATTGAATTGGAGCCAGAAATGGCTCAAAACGAAATAAGTAAATTACCAACAGATATTCAGGCTGAGGCGACAAACGCCATATCCAAACTACTTCCATTTAAATCCCGAATAACTTATGAAAAGGAATACCAACATTTTCAAAAATGGAAGCAATTAAAAAAAGTGCGAGAAGAAATAAAGTTTTTAACCTATCGTAGCTGTTAAAGTATCATTTAATCTGCACTTGCGGTTAAAGTACTACCACAGATTAGGTATCGTATAAGTATACAGATAAAAATCTTGCCCCTAATTCGTGGTACGAAAATTGTTTTTTATGACGATGTGCAAACGAGTCAAATTTCTTGTGCGCAAAAATAAACTCGCGTAAAATAACAATAAACAGCGTAATAGAGAGATATCGCTAAACCGAATAGCGTGCATGGACGTTAATAAGGCCAGGTGTTATTTCCTTTAAGTGAGGTGGTATTAACTCTCTTCATTTATAGTTATCGGATCGGAAAGAACTTTGATCGCGTCGCGTCCGCTATTTAAACTTAACCTAACTTTGAATTTAAAACTTTGAAATTGTTTTGTTTACTAGGTATTTTAAAACTAAAGGGCTAAAGTGCTTATTTCCAGTGCTTTATTGTTCAACGTCTGCCAGTGGGTTTAAGCTGGATTTATAAACTCGGGAGTTGAGGTTCAGTTGCCATTCAAAATGTTCAACACTATGAAATGAACGCGCGCATTTATAAAGTCAGTTGGTCGAGAAGTTGGCAGTTCGTTTTACGTTCAGCGGAGTTCAAAGATGGTCAATGTTTATGTCGGCAGTTGCGGGCAGTTGGCGACCGCTGGCGACGTTCGGCGACAGCCAATGAATAACGCCTGTCGATCACGTGAAGCACAGTACGCCGATGCATTGGAAAATGACCCTTATTGTTGTTTCATTATTTCTGTTAATGTAATGTTTATATTTTGCGTAATCGTGGATTACTGTGTTTGAACTTTGACAAATACCAAAAGTATTTTTAAATCGAAAGAAAAACGTTCAAAATTTTCACAATTCCAAACCTAACCTACAACCGAAACTGACAGTTTATAAATGCAAAAATATTGAACCTCAACTGCCGCGAACATCCAACTGCAACTGAACCTCAACTGAACGCCAACTTCCGAGTTTATAAATCCAGCTTTAGGGCAACAAGCAACAAATTCTCTTAGAAGGGCTAAGTCGTCATCTGCTGTAAACCTAAGACTCTTTATAGGTTCTTTAGTATTGGAAGAGGTGGAATCCATATATTTTGGGCCATATTTATTTAATTAAAACTAATCCCAGCTACTTAAATATCAAATTACCTAATAAAACTAAAGCAATAATTCAAAACAATTCAAACATAACCTAAAAAATAAAGATCTCGCCGGCCGGCTCCGGTTGTCAAATACCCGCACATGCCCATTTAAGCAATTTTTAAACGTTATCAGAGGTTATTTAGAAAGAGCGCTTGGTGTAATTGATTCGCAAATTACGTCAGGCGGTAACGTTATTAGCGGGTGTTGCGTTAAAAATTGACTCGCGCATATCGTAACCATGATAAGGTACGCGTAAATACTGGATGATGCTATTCGGTTTTCCGATATCTCTCTAATAACTGTGCCGGTCAGGCGCTGTGCACAATTTTAGAGGCCATAAGTGGGCGTGCTATATGCGCAAACTAGTCACCTAACTAGTGCCCGATACCGAAAATTGGAACCACGAAAAACGATAAAGAAAAAACAAAGATTATAATCTGTATAATCTGTGGTACTACTTTATGTATTATTTTTGATAGATATAAGGCAATTTTAACAGTTGCTATCTTTGAATAAGAAGACTAAGGAAGGAGCATAATGCTATCCATGTATTCATGCTTAGTGGGCGGAAAAAGCACTCTAGGGTGGGGATCCTTGACAGTTCTGTTTGACAATTCATTTGACACATTTGAATTTGATTTGAAATTTTGTGGATTTGTCAGTCTTTACGGAGCTTATTTTATGTTATTTATTATTTATTCTACTACTGATAGTTATATAAAGGTAGTAAATCTAGATGGAAATTGTGGCAGAACTTAAATTAACAGTGACAGTATCGCGATTTATCGAAAAAGACTCTAAAATAGTTGGTTGTGTAGCGTGCGGTATATCTCGGCAAAAATAGGGTGAAATAATGGAACAACTTTTCGCTAGTAAGTGACTATATAATATACATACGTGTAGTAAACCGATTATTTATGAAATTCACTTAAATTAACTAAATTATATATTTTTCTTGCATTTTAGCTTTTATTTATTACTTGTCAAAGATTAGATGTCAAAGAATTTAGATACATTAATTTGACTTACCTGCTTCAGTAGCGTTTCGGATGTTTGTGCTAATAAATACTTATTATAACTTATCTATTTTTATTAGAATTATATATTTTTATAACAATTTTAATAACTACCAACATTTATTCACAACGTAAAATAAAACAACAAATTATTGAGTCTACCCCACGTCTACCCTACATCATAGTTTTATATTTTTTAAATAAATTAGAACGACACTGATAAACCGGATTTTAAGTCGGCCATATTTGAGGCCCATCGCGGTGTACCTAAGATTTTGATATGCTCCTTCCTTAGTCTTCTTATTCAAAGGTTGCTATAAAAAAAATATTTATAATAACCATAGACTAATGTCATGTTCTAGATAATAACTTTAAAATAAATTAAAATTTAAAAGTATTATGACAGATTCTCCCGGGAATTGTGAAAGGAACTAAAAAATAAAAAAACATTAATGTGACATATTGGCCAGCATCAAATTGGGCATTTTGCCTTGTATTTTTGAAGTGAAACTTCTTAACGCGCGCTGGGAATAAAAATTCAAGGCCGCGACTCGACACGCGAGATAAAAAGTGCTAAGAACAGCCTACGGTTTAGAAAAAATCGTCCGATTTAAATGAAATTTGGTATCTCGATAGATTCGACCAAGGTCAACTTGACCGCGTACGACACGCGTCACTGTGACAGTTAGTTTTGACGTAAGAAACGTCAAAAGTTTATATAGTCCGATCGCGACCAAATTTGGTGAGTAGGCTATGTAAGCGACGGTGCACACAGTCCCACCCTGCAAAGTTGGATGCGGCGTTTCGTTTACATCTTCATCAGGGTGGGACTAAGGATTTGATACTGAAGAAAAATGTGGGTCGATTTTGGTATAATTGGGGACGGGCTGCAGGATGACGCCCTGGACGTTTCGAACCGATGCCTCTAAATAGACGAAATCATCAGGATTTTTTTTAATTATGGGTTGATTGTAACAAAACTCGGCACGTGGATAGAGGTACCCGAATGGAGTCCTCAGACGGACAGACTGATTTTTCTTCTAGTTTCCTAGATCTCAATTAGTGTTCTTCTTCGTCCTGTATTTCACATATTTCCTTTGTTGTGCTGCTTGGACCACAGATAGCCTGCAACACATAATAACTTCATTGTGTCACCTCTTTGTGTTCATTAAGACTTAATATTATTTTTATTACAATTATGTTGTTTTTTACAACATGTTTTCCAACAGCAATTTCCTGTCATTGGCTGCCTTCAACAAATACCTACGAACAGTAATTGCTCCTGAAAACAGTGGGAAATGGTTTCTATTCAAACAGAATTCATTGTAACTGCGACAAATCACTGTTTGCTTGACATACTCGCACCAGAGGTGTCGCGCCTCGTCAATGTGGACTTTCTTGTTTTGCAATATTTGCCATTCGGTGTAATAAGGAGGTGTTAAAGTCGTTCGAGCCAAGTTAATTGTGTCAAATGCATTGGCGGCGCCTGGTTCAATTCTTTAGGGGTTCAATATTACTAATTTTTTAAAATTCAGTTTCCAAAACCTATAATTAAAATCGTTAAAAATAGTTTTTTTCTATAGCAACTGTTAAAATTGTCTTATATCTATCAAAAATAGTAGATAAAATAGTACTTTAACCGCAAGGGTAGATTAAATGATCTTTAACAGCAAGGATAGGTTAAAAACTTTAATTCTTCTCGCACGTTTTTTAATTGCTTCCATTTTTGATTTTTTTTATTCCTTTTCATAAGTTATTCGGGATTTAAATGGAAGTAGTTTGGATATGGCGTTTGTCGCCTCAGCCTGAATGTCTGTTGGTAATTTACTTATTTCATTTTGAGCCATTTTTGGCTCCAATTCAATTTAGCAATCGACACGAAAGAGAATTAAAAAATATTGACTCAAAACTGATAACTAGAGAGACAGCTTTATTTATTTGTCAAATTATATAGAAACCAACGCCAACCCAGCACAATATTTTTTCTACTCGTAAAAAATTCCTTGAAATAATAATTTCTGAATATTTTTTAAAACGTAACTCGCTATTGAAAAAAATATTGAACGACGATAAAATTGCATTATACACGACGATAAAATTGCATTATCGTCTCCCGAAATTAATTCGTCTTGTATAAAAAATAACTATAAGCTTGAAGCCTTTTCATAGGACACCCCCACGTGACACTGTTTACTCAATTCAAAATTTGGAATACCATTCCTTGCATAAGGACCCTGTTGTTTTAATTTAAAATAAACGGTTTTCATGTAAATGAAAAGCTACCTACCAATTTTAATTTACCCAAAATGAAAGTTGTAAGTAGGAATAAAAATATATATATTTTTTTTTATTTTTACAGGTAACCATGGCGGGAGACTTCATCTTGGCCGTCGCTTCCATGATGATAGCTAGGTTAAAAAACAACGATGTTACTTTAGTTCTTAGTCAGGTAATGACTTTTTTTATAATTCTTTAATGAATAATTCATATGCACTATAGTTTTTTAATATTGTTGTATTTTCCAAAATTTTACCAAAATCATTCAAAAAAGACTTTTTTTTATCTTACCATATAAGAGTGCGTTTCAATTCTTAATGCCTTGGCAGGGAAAGATTTTTTAATATAGTTTATACCAAATAAACTTTTAGTCACGTGATAAGCTTGATCGACACAGCGTTGCCAAATGCCCAGTTTTACATATTTTCTTTTAATCAAAATATTTTAGGAAACAAAAATAAATTAATTATAAATATATAAACAGTTATTACGAGCCCTAACAACTATATGTTGGGACATGGTCTTTTTTGCAATAAAAATAGTAATTTGTTAAAACGACTCAATTTATTTTGTTTATTATTCTAAATTCAAACATTACAATATGATCTAGACAATTTTACTATATTTTTATAACTTTGCAAACAAATCACTTTTGACAATAGCTTATTTTGCCAAAATCAAGCCAAATTTGCTGACAACTATATATTGGGACAGCACAACAAGAAATTTGTTTAATACGGAGTTACATTACCTTTCGCCTTAACAACTGCCTGAACTCTTAATGGCATTGTATTTACCAAAGATTGGCACATTTGAGGAGAAAAATTATCCCAAATTTCCTGCAGTTTTGTCCGCAAATCAAAAATTGTTCGTTGAGGGTGGTTTCTTAAATATTGCTTGCCACACAGTTTCTATAACATTGAGGTCCGGACTACTTGGAGGATGGGATAAAACTTTTATATTATTATTACCGAACCAATTTTTAGTTGATTTTGCTGAATGGCACGATGCTCCATCTTGTTGGAAAATATAGTCTTCGTTTGGAAACAATTCTTGAGCACTAGGCAAAAGTAAGGTCTCAAGTATACGTTGATATTTTTGGGCGTTAACAGTGCCATCTATAAAATTTAATTTGCCCAAATCTCTTGCTGACATACAACCCCAAACCATAATCCCCTTAGGAAATTTAACAACCCTCTTTAAGCAATCTTTATGAAGGCTTCTGCTTTATTTCGTATTATTCGTTTTCGATGATCTCCAACGCAAACATCAAATTTAGACTCATCGCTAAATATGACCTTATTCGAATCATTTTGTGTCCATGATAATTTAGATTTTGCCCAATTGTAGCGATTTTTCTTTTGAATTTCTGTCAGTAGCGGTTTATGATTTGTATCAATAATCTTCAGGTAATTGATTATCCACACAAAATAAAGTTTACCTTGTAAAACCCCAGACCGCATTTGTGGATATATTTTCGGCAACATTCTCTTGATATAATTAAACCAGGTATAGTATTCCATTTAACTGTTACTTCGCGAAGAGTACTTCTTCTCGCAGACTTGCAAATTTTTACTAAATTTCGTAAATCTCTCTGAGATACAACTTTTGGCCTTCCCAAACTTTTACCTCTAACGTCTACGTTGGCAGATTCGCCATATTTTTTTATTATATTAAAGACCGTGGTTTTTGGAATACTTAAATCATCAGAAATTTTTCGAATTGTTTTTCCCGTATTGTATTGACGATTGATAATTTCGCGTAGTTTTTGATTTGTAGCTTTTCCACGGACCATTACTTTGGATTAAATTAACAAAATTGAAAATTAAAAAAATTAAAATTTCTTACAGTAAATCTTACTACTCAAAGTATCGAGTCACTTACAAGCTGTCAATGCTGAAGTAAACAGTTTGCGACATTTTTTATAGCGTTTAGAGCAAAGCTGCCTATTATGATGTTAATTATTTAAAAATACTTGTCCCAACATTTAGTTGTCAACAAATTTGTCCTTTTATGAACAAAATCCGCTACTGTAAATATAGATTGATTTACAAATTCATAAAAATATTGTCAAGTTGTTTAGGATATATGGCTATGTTTATATTTAAAAAATTAAACATATAGGTTTCAGTCATTTTGAAAAACCAGGGCGATAATTCCAAAATATGACCTTGTCCCAACATATAGTTGTTAGGGCTCGTATTTACATCATCAAAACTAACCTCCTTATCAGAGCACTTAACGGACATAAAGGACCATTACTACAGCTTTCCCGTTCAAAATATTCTAATAAAGTTGCGATGAGTTTTTTACGGCTATTAAGCTATCTTGTACACTTCGCACTAAAAGAGATTCTAAAAAGAACAATGTTCGACTGCAAGGTCTGCTAGTAAAAATTTCTAAGCTTAAAATATCACAACTCAATTCATTTAAACCAAAAACTCGTGATACAAAACTAAAGTGTCAAAACGAATGACAGTGTCAGGAAATAAATAAATAAATGTGGCAACGTAACATTTTTTATGAATTTAAAAATCTTTATATACAGGGTGTCATTGAAATGGTGTAAAAAAATCGTGGGGTGATTGACCCTAAACCAAATGGTAATACTGAAAAACTATTTGGAAAAGAGGAAAGGGTAGTTTTTGCAAGGGTGGGGGGTTATTTCGTGAATAACTTTTTTGAGGTTATTTTTTGCAGTTTTTGCAACGTGGGTGCATTTTTTGAAAACTACATACTTTTTCGTACAAAAAAGGTACTCTTGTTGCACATCGCCCAGAGCGATGGTTTTCGAGAAAATTGAAAGCAAAGAGATTGCTCTGATGGGTTGCTAACTGGTTAATCAACAATTATATAACAACAAGAAATATATACCTGGGTTTAATAGGGCTATTAACTAAACTAGATTTAAAATCTAATAAATACAGCATTAATTGCCTATTAATTGCGCTTAAATTACTCTATTAATGCATTTATTGCAAAGCTTATTTCATTATATTTGTTTATACTAAACACTGTTACATTCTTTTTTAGATTACATATTTAGGACATACATTCATATAAAGTTTTTTTCTTAAAATAGGTCCAACACCCTGACATTAAAGAACACCCTGTACATTTCAGAAAAAAATCAATCTTTCCACGACAGAGATACAAATCTCAGTCAAGAACCAAAGAAACATTAAATAATTGTCATAAAATGTTCTATTAAATTCCAATGAATTGCAAACTCGCATACTTGGAATATTTCAGAATTTTATCGGCAAATCGCACCTGAAATGCCAGCGTGTTTACTTATATGTCGAGTTGGGAAATAGCTAGCATAATCGACTGTGTTTTGATGGTGTTTTTTCTTCTTTATAGGTAGTCAGTGACCTCGTGCAAGGCGAATTCATGCAGCTCGGTTCGAAGGAAACGGAAAACGAAAGATTTGCTCATTATTTAACGAAGACTTACAGGAAAACTGCCAGTTTAATAGCCAATTCAGTCAAATCGGTAAGTTGGATACCACCACCACCAACAACAACAAACAACGCTTTATTGTGCAAAAAGCCAAAACAGCTTCATCGACAAAGCACTCACAAAACAAACAAAAACACAAAAAAATATATAAACAACAAAAAATTCATTAAAATTAGAGTTATAAAATATTAAATACTTGACCTTTGACCAGTGTGTGAGATGATCAAAATTTTAAAATTCAAAATTGTTCATAATTAAACATCAAAAAAAGTCGTTTACCGCATATAGGGCTCTCTCCAGTAAGTATGATTTCAGAGCTTTGCGAAATGCGGGAAAGAACGAAAGCGACTTGATATTCAAAGGCAGATGATTGTACATTTTTTTGGCATTGTACATTACTGAACCTTTAACTAGTTCTGAGCTCGGGGTTGGCAGATAAAGATCGTGCCCCGCATTCCTAAGTGGATAGTTATGAGATGGCCTTTCGGGAATAGCAGCACATGTGCCTACCAAACCAAACCAACTGTCCCAATCAAAGATTTTCCTTGATTTAGTTCTTCGGGAGGGATTAAAGATTTTCTTTGATAGTTCCATATTTAGTTTTCCTTAATTTAATATATAGTTTACTTTACTCTTAACTACAATTACGAATGTTTTATTTTCTGTTTGCAGGTGTCGATATTAGCGGGAGCCGATGAACAATTATCGGACTTGGCCTACCAATATGGCCGCAACATGGGCCTAGCTTTCCAATTGGTTGACGATTTGTTGGACTTTGTTTCCTCATCAGCAGCGATGGGCAAACCCACTGCTGCAGATCTTAAATTGGGTCTAGCCACAGCACCAGTACTGTTTGCATGTGAAAAGGTAATTTGTCTTGATTATTTCAATATAATGATCTGAATTAATTGTTCTATTCAAACCCTTTCATTAAAGTTACTCACACACGTTCAGTTTTTTGACTGCGCAGTCCAAATCTTGAAATATTTTCAACGTGTATGGTGAAGATTTTGGATTGTGGTTAAAAAAGTGCCTTAAGAACATTTTTACAGAATTCTATTATTCCGCAAAATACAAAAGTTATGGACAATTTTTCAAATGGTAAAAAAATTCAAAAAGACCCCTGTATCTCGATTGGCCGTGAAAATATCCACAGGCGGTTTACGCCATTAAACGTGTCTCAGAAATCGAACACATGACTTCTATGTCGGTTTTGCTCTATCTCGTCAGGAAATAGGTTTTCTCTATTAAAACAGACCAATTTCGACGATCCTGTACAGTCCACAAAATGGATTGATTTCTCTATACATATCTGAATGTTATAGGTTAAGGATATATAACTTTAAGGACTTATTTATTAAAGGACATTCTATATAAACTTGAACTTTTTTGCAGTACCCCGAACTCAATCCAATGATCATGCGTCGGTTCCAAGAACCCGGTGACGTGGAGAAAGCCTTCGAACTGGTGCACAAAAGCCAAGGCCTGGAACAAACCCAATTTCTGGCCAAGCAACACTGTTCCGAGGCCATCAGGATAGCCAACCTGTTCAAGGAAAGTCCCTACCAAAAAGGGTTGGTAGTAGCCGCAGATTATGTCCTAAATCGAATGAAATAGCGAATTGTGTTGTTTATTCTTCCTTGTTTTGTATAGTTTGTTATTTCTGTCTGTCCAGTGCTTTGGTACTATAGTAGTTAGGTTCTACTGCTAGCCAAAGACAATGAGGTTTGCAAAATGGATACATAAGATAAGATAGGCGACTATTCCGAAGAGAATTTAGATGAGTTACCTGAAAAAGGGAATAGTGATATAATTTAGTTACCATTTGCCTTAAATTGTTGTGCTGGAACCTTTCCTTTGTACCTTAAATGACTTATTATGAAAATTACCTTAATATACAGCTAAATTTGGTTCAATAAATGGTTTAAATAAAGTTTTTTATATGCTGTTTGTCCAAATAGTACTAACTCTCTTTGATATCCAGGTTCAACAAATGATATTTATTTATTATTGAGTTTGAAAAACAAATATTCTTTCAGTAACCCAAATAAGGAAAAAACTTATTGGCATATGACATGCCACAACTGCCATGATGCTAAATTACCAAAATCGTCTAAAATATAAAAAAAAAACAATGAGAAAAGTTGTTCAGAATTTGATTCTACGTCTATGTACCAAGTTTCATGATTATATTCAATTTTTTTCGGGAGATTTTCAAAAAATTATATTTTTTCAATAAAAGTACATAAAACAATTTCTAAAACAGTGATTTTTCTTTACTGTCATGTAAATAAAGATAGTAAACTTGTTCCAATAGCTTAAAGAATTGTCATACTTTAATCATGCGAAAAAAAATGTTTTTTGGTGAAAAATAATTACATAATTGATATTTTTTGGAAGTCCCTGTATATTTATCAAGGGCACTAGACGAAAAATCATGTTCTGAACACATTTCTCTTTGATTTTTCGATTATTCTGTCTCTTAACTCCACTTTTTCATATTGTTCATGTTGAACAAATTCACAAACTTTTTTTCATGAACTACAAATCCTATTGCGAGTTTTTTGGACATCCTGTATATTATTTTTTTGTACACTTCTTTTGTTACTAATATACTTATCTTAAATTAGACATATTCAACTGTCTTGTATCAATCAAAAATATCCAAAATATTAATAATTTTTAACGATAGTTATTTTAGCTTTTTTTATTCAATTTTAATTTAAATTTCTTTTCTTAGGGAGTATAATTTGGACAAACAATAAAAATATAAATCTTTGAAAAATTAAATTATAAAACTCTGTTTTGTTAATTTTGGAGGGTTCATTTTGCCAAACATTAAAACTAAAATATACTCACAAATTTTGTCTTTATTTTTATAAAATAATAAATATCCATGTTAAAATTAAAAATATAGTACCTTCCAGGAACAATTATATTGTTCTTTTCTTATATTCTTTTAAAATATTTAATCTATTATTGATCACTGCTGCACTGAACAACATGGAAAATTTCTAGCAAATTACTCGCATTAGAAAAATAATACCATCAGCTTGGAGAAAGTCAATTTAGCTTTGATACAAATAAATATATTTCAGCAGATTTCACGATTTTGCCTAGTTATTTTTATTAGTCTAGCAGTGGTTCAATCTAAATCTAGTCATTAAGTTCTTAGCGTATAATAAATATACTGAGCAACATTTTTCTTTATTTTTTGTTAAAACTAATCTTATCACTGCACTATCTTGGTCAAAAAAATCTTCACAGAGTTTGATTCAAAATCAAACGCGGATACCAGTGAATTTGAGTGAATGGATGAATGAAAATTAATATATATTATAAAATTGTATAGTATATTTAGTTAGATAATTAATTGTACAAGTACTTTTTGAAAAAAAGTATATATAAGACATTAGTTTATCTTTTTAACTATATCAACAAAGCTTAAAGAATGTAAAAGTTTTTTATATATTATTAAACAACAATTAAATTTAAAATTGAAGATTTTTTGGTATAACTTATAGAATCTTAATCTCTCTTCAAAGATATATAACATGAATAAACAATATACAAGGTTTTAAAAACCGTATAATATTTTATTTTAGTTACTTACTAACATAAAGTATCTTTTTATGGAAATATTTAAAAGATATACCGTACATTCTATTATTACAATGCAAATTTATATTTTTCTTGTACATATGTAGGGATCTTTATTAGTAATACTTTACTATAAAAAATTGACACTTTCTTTAAAAATAATTCATAACATTTGAATAAAATTTATTATATTTTCAAGTAAAGATATTTTGTTTTCAATATTTCTAAATATCATTGATTGAAAATGCTCTATTTTTTACATAATTATGTTTCTAAATGATTTTAGGAATACGTACATATGTATATGTATATAGGTAACCTTCCAACATTCTCTGTACTGGAATACAATATGAACGAAAAAAAAAAACGGCGTCAGCGATTGCTTTGAAATGAAGCTCGCTGTCATTTTATGAGTAAAATTATATGGGAAATGTCATCGATGTTCATTTCCAAGCCAACAGGACGCCGTTTTTTTTTCGATCATACGGTACTATATAACAGAGAACGATATTCATGTAGCTTGATATAATTTCTGTAAATAAACTTTATTTTCCAGATTAACAAATGTTATTGAATATATTTTAAAAATAGAAGAAAAAATATACAAATTATTGTCATTCTTTACAATCTTCAGTAAAATCTTGTAGAAAATATTTAGATTTCTTTGCAACTATCAGTCTGTACATACACATTACAGAGTAGTTATTTAAAGTAGTATAATGTTATATATTATTATTATTATTAATACCCCTATAAAAGATATTGTATAACTTGTATATTATTTTGTTTTAAACAAAGTTAATAAATTATTAGGTGGGTCCAGTGTTTTATTATTTATAACTCTTAAATCATGTCTATAGCTTTTTGGTAAAAAAAGTTCTGTGTTTTTCGCCATTATAATTTAGAAAAATTTATGCAGTACAGTGGTGGTTACAAAAAAATATTTTTTTTATGTATTTTAAAGTTTAATATATTTTGTTCTAATGGGTCCATTTTGATGATTTTTTAAGCAATTTGTAGCTAAATTATTAGACTTTTTAGTATCTCTTTCTAAATTAAAAATGAAAGTTTCCATCTGTCAATTAACTATACGAGGGAAAACAAAAGGTTGATATTTTGGTGAAAGTTTGAAACCCCCTGAGGACTATGTTAACAAAGCAAGCATTTTAAAAATCATTTTATCATATACATTACCGGCCAAAAGTGGAGAAACTTTTAATATTTTTACTATGTCAAAATACAGTTTACTCTCTGCAGAATAGGATATCAAGAAAATATTTCGCATTTAATCTGCTTTGTATAGCCATATAAAAACTGCTTATTTTGTGAATACATTTGCAGGCAAAAAATTATTTACAAATTCCAGCGGACATAAGTGGAGAAACCTTATCTTCTTCTTAACATTCTGTGAGATATTCTCTTGTTAAAGCGTCTAGATCGTGGTATTGGGTTCGCAGAGCGTTAAAAATATGCCGCGCGAGATAAATTTATCAGATCAAATAAAAAAAATCATAATTGAGAAGTATCATTCGGAAACTAAACAAATTGATATTGCTAGACACTTAAATTTACATAAAAATGTTGTGTGCAAACAGATTAATTTGTATAGAAGTCGTGGGACAACTGCCAGTATACCCAAGCCCGGAAGCCCCCAAAAAACAACTTTGGCGGCAGATAAAATAATAAGAAGATATTCAGTTAGAAATCCATTTTGTACTGCGGAGGATATAAGGAACGAATATCCCTTTATTTCAATATCTGTTAGGTCCATTAGACGGCGTCTGAAACAGGCACAACTAAATGCCAGAAGACCTGCCCGAAAGCCGTTTATTTCTAAGAAAAATAGGCAGGCCCGACTACAGTTTGCATTGGAACATGCAAATTAAACCTACAAGCAGTGGAAAAATGTACTCTGGTCGGACGAAAACAAGTACAATCTATTTGGTTCGGATGGTATTAGGTGGGTGAGACGTCCTGCCAATGAGAGGTTCAATCCCAAGTACACCATACCCACCATGAAACACGGAGGTGGGAACGTTCTAGTTTGGGGTTGTTTTTCAGGGCATGGGGTCGGGCCCCTTGTTCAAATAGATGGAATTATGGATCGTTATATGTATTTAAATATTTTGCAAATGGTACAGCTGGTTCCAGTAAAATTGAATACGATTTAAAACATATTTTTATTATTTCGGGCAGTATATTCTATGAAGCCAGTCCTCCATTTCTCTACCCATGTCATGCTGATATTCTGAAAAGTTTATTTGCCACTTTGTCAAAAGTAAAGTTGTTTTATTCAATATCACAATAACCTTAACATGTCAAAATACTTCACACATAAATATACACTGCTCAAATATTCGAAAAAAATGTGTAAAGAGTCGTATTCATTTTTTTTGAAACCAGCTGTACCTTATGCTGAATCCTCCCTCCCTTTGCCCTGGAAATTTATGCACGATAATGATCCGAAACACATTGCCAAACTTATTAAGGAATTTTTAACCGAGGAACAAGTTGAAGTGATCAAATGGCCAGCTCAAAGCCCCGACCTGAACCCTATAGAGAACCCTATAGAAGTCGATGTTAGCCGTAAAAACAGGGACAAATTTAAAAATAAAGATGTTTTGTTCGCTGCCCTATTACAAGCCTGGAATGTAATATCCGGGGACGTAATAAAGAACTTGATTGAGTCTACGCCCAGAAGGTGCCAAGCAGACATCAAAAGTAAAGGCTATGCAACCAAATACTGAGACTAGCGACTACAAATGTATAAAAAATACCAGTTTCTCCATTTTTGTCCTCATATAAATTAGTTTAATTTTTTCAAAATTTAATAAAGGATTTTTCCAAAAAAATCTTGTGTGTATTTTTATGAGACAGTTATCCTATGTATAAATATATATGCTTTATAAACATTTTTCGTTCTTGTAAAACGGTAGCAAAAAAATTTAAAAAGTTTCTCCACACAAGTGATCTTTAAATTGCTTGCTTTGTTAACGTACTCCACAGGATGTTAGAATAAACTTTTATCAAAATATCAACATTTTGTTTTCTTTCATATAAATGACAGATGGCAACTTTCATTTTTAATTTAAAAAAGTTACTAAAAAGTCAAATAATATAGCTTCCAATTGTTAAAAAAATGATCAAAATTCGTGCTGGTGAGTGTATAATAGAGAATATAGACCTCTCTTTCTCTATTGCCTTCTTGGATTTGAGGTCAATTCCTATTGTGAGGACCTTGAGACCAGTAGAGGCTAGTCTTCTATCTAGCCACGCATCCCTTTGCCCTGGTATTGCCATCGAAGGATTTCAGGTTTTTAGTGAAGTAATTGTCTTCCCTTGGTCCAGGCGGTTAGGCCAAGATCACCCCATACCCTCTATCCGTGATTCATGACCACAGACAGTAGAGGGCGCCTGGTATGACGGACAGGGTAGTCCCATGGTCAAATACCCGGCCACGACACTAAAACCAGGGACAAGACAGTGAGATGCTCCTTAGACCTAGCTAAAATGCCAGAGGAGATCCCCCTAGCACCTGAATAGGAGCTTCCCCACTAACGACAAAGTCTCGCAACTCTTAAAGGAAGTCCACCTTTACAAAATTCAATGTAATTTTGTAAACTTTTTTGCCTGGTTTTGATAATATATTTATTAACAGAAAAAGCCAAGTTAAAAATACTTCCAACATTCTCTATATTTAAACAGACATAAAAATCTTTATGAAATATCCAAAACTGTCTTAAAATATATATTTCTAGCTATTCCAGAGTTCTAGCTAGCCTATTTTAAAGACTTTGGTATCTGCGAAAGATATCCCTGAAATTCCTTGACGTCGACTAGTTTTTTTCGGTCATGCAAAATAAGGTAGCGGCACGAAGGTGCAATATTGGCGACATTTTTTATCGTATAGACAGTTTTGGAGCAGGCAGCGCTCTTCCAGAGACAGACAGAGCCTACTATCTGACCCAGTGAAGGCGGGTACAAAAGGCCATATAAATTGCAGGCAATTTCAGTCTTTATTTTCAGTAATTCAAAATTATGAAGTGTCAGTTTTTCTGTCTTATTTTAGATTGATCTATTGTGTCCTCAATTTTTTGAGTTATAATCATCATACAGTCTCAGGGCTTTGACGACGCCAGTATATAAGACGGTTCTACAGAGGTTAGTTTTCCATCTGCGATATAATCGTATCAAAATTTATGGCACGAATGGTTATCGTCTCGGTGCACTCAGTGATAGAGGTGTTCTGGTATTTCCAAATTTTCCCCAAAGAATCTGCATTCGCCGTTATTTCTTAGCTTCAATCTGCTGAGGTGTTAATTGAGGAGACAGTGTTGTGTATAGTGCTAATAATAAATTACAACAATTATTAGGTAATCCAAAGGATAAAACACCTCCACTGGAAAGGTCGGGTATTTATGAAATTTCTTGTAAAAATTGTAATCAGAAATATGTTGGGCAAACTAGAAGATCAATATTAACTAGATTTAAAGAACATTTAGCTCAGATAATATATGGTAGACTGGATAAATCTTGCGTTGCCGAATATATTGTTGACAAAAAACATTGTATAGATCTTAATAATTTAAAATTAATTAAACAAGTCTCAAATTACAGGCAATTAGATGCATATGAAAGCAACAGAATTAATAAATGTAAAGATAGTATGAACAGAGACAACGGTCCAATTCCTTCAAGTTCTTTGTTCCTACTACTCTAGTGACGGAAATCAACTGTTACGCTCAGTGGGCTCTGACTCGGTTGGCTAGATTTTGCCACGCCCACTCGGTGCCCACTGAGCGAGTATATTATAAACGCTCAACTTGTAGATTGTACTTTAGTTTATAATCATCTGCTAATGATGCTAACATGGTTAGCGAAACGCGCGTCCAGTGTAAAAGTAAAAGTGTTTTGGTGTATTGTGGTGATTTAGTGTTTTTATTTTGCTTAGACAGTGTCCTGTTAAAAACCCTGTGACAATTCGAAGATTGTTCTTACCTAAATCAAGAGAAATCTTTGATTTTTTTCAGTTGTAGGTCCTGAGAAATTTCTTCGAGTGTCTTCGACCTTTGGAGGTTTTCCATATTCCAGGTTATGGATGGAGTCTTCCAGGTTCTTGAGTTCCGTTTTAAGTTGGTATCCACTTGGGAAGCAGAACGGTTCTGGTCCAGTTAGTGGAAGTAGTCGCCTTTTTTCCAGCTAGATCGTTTGCTTTTTCACCGCCATCTATGACTTGGTGGCTGGCACCCAGAGTAGGAGGACTTTATTTCCTTTGACTTCTTCTTCTGAGTGTGCCTATCCGTTGTTGGCTATAAGCAAAGCGATTCAAATTTTACTGGATGCTGCTCTAAACAATCCTCCTGTAGAAAGGGGAAATGGGGGAAACCAAGTTCTGAGGTTTTTCAACCAAAAGATTGTGCCTTTTCCTGAAGTATCAACTGAAGTAGACGATATCTCTTTTGGCTTCCTCATTATATGCCCCAGATATTCTAATTTTCGTTGTTTAATGACGTCCACTATTTCGTTCTCATTTTGATGCACTTCCGAAACAGTCTTGTTGGATACGGTGTCTACCCAGGAGAGTCTCAGAAGTCATCTGTATAGCCATATCTCAAAGGTTTCAAGTTTTTTTGTGGACGCTTCTGTCAATATCCAGGACTCGGCACAATACAGGATCACAAACCAGACATAACACTTAAGTAGTCTCAGTTTGGTCTGTAAATTAAGAGTCCATTTCACTAGACCGAAAAAGTGGCAAACGCTTGTTCGGCATTTAACGTTTTATGTAAAACGGATAGGTATTTTTACACAAATGAAGAAAGAAATTAAAGATAAACGATTTTACTACATCCGTATTGTAGCACATTTTTATACAAATTCTTTATTTTTAAGAGTTTTGAATGTCAAGTATCAACAAAATATCCTTTATGTTTGGACTAAATTTTCTCGAAAATAAAGAGATAATTTAAAATTCCGTTACAATGCGGAAATAGATTGAAGTTTTGTGATTACAGTGATATTATAATTTATATGGTTTTGTAACAAATTGGTCGCTATTTTATGGCAAATGCTGAAGCTCTGCAAACCTTAATCAAGCCTAAATCAAAGCACGTGTGTTTGGAATTTTGGGTGTGACTTAACACGACAGGATCGGGCTAAGCCTCAGGCAGATTTCTGAAATATAACATATATTTCCTTCGGCTACACACCCGCTTTACCCGACCCTGAGAGTGACTCGAACAGTACAGCGTAATAGACTATTAAGATCTTTAGAGAGATTTCTTTGACTGAATGACTGATTAATAAAGACAATGGAAGGTCCGAAATTCTTTTAGTTTCAATACTGAATCATTGTCTACCACATCCAAAGGAATACTTTGAAAATTGCCCCACTATTTTTCCTAATATTTTCAATTTAATAATTTCTCTGTAGTCCATATCATCCGATAATCAAACCAAACCAATCATGAGATAAACAAGGATTAATAAAAATAAATAAAAGCGGAGGAAACTAGAAAGGAAAAAAGATAATGAGCAAAATCCAACAAGATTTAATTTTCGCACGCCTGCTACTTAGTGGGCCTTGCACGTTAAAGATTTTCCAGTGGAAACAGATTTCCCAGATTTTCGCGAGGCTCGGCTCGGTGCCTGTCACAGAAAAACATTCGCGCTCCGCTTTTACCAGTCCAGAAGGCTTTGAAAATTTTAGTCATTCCAAAGACAACAAAAGACTATTGTGTCATTTCACACAAACCCTAATCAATTAGAAAATTGGCTCAAAAGGAAGGTTAGTTTCGGTCTGTAAAACGTTTAAACCAGCCGGATTTCTAGTTTCTAGTAAATAAATATTTATTTACATTCTTTGTTGATGGTAGGGCTTTGGTGAATGAAAATGTTCGTAAACGAAGCGGTACAGACGAGTAAGGATATGGAAAAGAAGTACTTAGAAGAGCGTATTGTTAAAGAAGGTATGGAATTACTTAAAAGACAGAAGGAGGAGGCTAATCGCAGAAAAGTTAAAGAACAGCAAGAGGTAATAATAAATGTTAAGTCATTTAAAAAAATAAAACTTCTGTTTGATAATAATGACACTACCGGATGATTTATTGGTATATTACTCTTTGACACAAATTAGGGTTGATAGACGTATTCAATTGTTTTCGGTCACTTCCTGTTTCACCGGAAATGACTACAACTTTTGATTTTTAAATGGTGCCCTCAGTATTTTTTTTGAATTACATATCACATCTTTTGATATTTTCGCTAAAAAATCCTATTTGAAACTTCAATTTTGAGTGCCATGGCTGTGTAAAAAACACGAATTTTTAATCAAGGAGCCTTGGAAAAAATAGATTTGATTGTTTAATGTTTTTCGTGTCTTGTCCTGGCCGGTTAAAAGATGTCCATATCGTATTTTTAATCATATCTCAATTTTTTTTCAAATGGAACGAGGGTGGCTCATTAGCATATTTGGAAAAGAAACATTTTTTTACCAATAATTTTGTACCACACACTTGGTATTTCGAGTCAAATTTTCGTTATAAACCGTATGTTACAATTTCAAATAAACCATATGCGAAAATGTTACAAGTTGACATAGTATATGATATGTCATTCTATTCACAGTGTCATTTTCTATCGAATGAAGTAAAAAAATGCTGAAAGTGTCATTTAAACATCAAAAGTTGTAGTCATTTCCGGTAAACAGGAACTGACCGGAAACAAAGGAATACGTCAATCAATCCTGATTTATGTCATATACTAACGTACCAAATCTCATTTTTTTATCTGAAAAAATAAAAAAGTTATAGGGGTGAGCCACTTTTGGGGAACAAAATATAATATATTCAAAATGTTATTGGTACTTAAGTTCACTTCGCTCATAAAAATTAACCAAGGAGAGTGCTGACATGAGCCAAAAAACAAATTGCTCAGGAGACATAGTTCTGACCGAAAAATAATGTTATAGGAAAATTTTCTCGCGAAATTATTGCACAGGGTGTTTTAAAGTTAGGGTAAAACAACCCTTCAATAATTATATAGTCTGTCCAACGAGAAGATCCTTGACAGTGATAGATGTGTCTGTCATTTTAATTTCAAAGTAGTTTATTTTATTTTACAAAGAAATAAGTTGGTACAACTGGAACGCATAGCAGGAATTATTTAAAATTTGATTGACAAGATGACAAGTGATTACTTCAAAATATTGTGAAAAAACTGTATAAAACTGAAAAAATGTTATCGAGTTATTTTATTTAATAAAAACGGTATGTGTTAATACAAAACAAACAAGAACAAGACACTACATACCAAAAAATATAAAAAGAACTATTATTTACTTTCAAGCTTTATGAAACTACCCGCATTTATGATTATATTTATCAATATAACTTATGTACAAATAAAAATTTGTAATATTCCACAGGAATAAATAAAACAACATAGGTAAATAAAACAAACTATTTTATTAATAATAACACCTACCAAATTTTATATCTTAAAGGTTGATTAATTAACTTTAATCTTAATTTTTTTAAACCAGTACCTTTTGACATTATTTTTCTGCAGTACTAAAATCCATTATTTACCTATCGTGTGATGTCGATATTTTACAGCTGCTCCAGTTTTTAGTAGGTATGTGTTTAGTTTGATCCTTCTACCATATACGAGATGCACTTATCCACGACGAAATGGTATACAAACTTTATCGATGGCAACTTCATTAGTGTATAAGACTTTCTGCCTGGGCAGCGAATATTAACCATAAACTGTGCTCTGGGTCTACAGTTAATTTTCACTCGATTTTTCCTCGACTTCAAAAGACACAAAACACACGTAATAATACGAATCAAAATGCATTATCTTCCAAAACGCAGGGTATTTAACAAAAGTTGACACAAAATTATAACCTATAATTTGGCAAGACTTTGACAAGCGTCAAAAATGACAAAAATCTAAAGGCGAGTTCATACGCATCGGCGTCCGTTTGTCGTTCATGGTTCCGTCAAACCAATAAAATTGAAATACGATCTGTCATTTTTTAAATAAACCAATAAAACTGGTTAAAAACAACAAGACACGACGTATGACGGATTTATATTTAAACCCATCCATAGATAACTTAAAAATTATCAGAAACTTTTTTTAGTAAAATAAATAGATTGGTATGGGACGTCATCTGCTTTTCTTCTGTCATCGTCTGTCGAAATCTTACCTGAGAAAAAAAAACAGAGTATAGATAGAACTATGTAGGCCAAATACTTATGTTTATAAAAAACTGAGTTTACTAATTAAAAAATTAAAAAAGTTGTTTTGCATCTGACTGTATAATAGTGACAAGTGTGGTAATTTAAAAACTAATTCCCTAGAAAAATAACTGCTGTAGCACAACAGCCATAACACTCGATTGAAGAAAAATCAATTGTCAATATTTTTTTTTACTAAAACGTTACAAGCTCATTTTTATTTCTATAAATTATTATATATTTGTTGTCGTGACTCGTGACACTAATAATTCAATCTCGATAATTCAATTATTTTAAATTAAGATGTCAAAAGTTGAGATATGACATGATGTCACTATTTTCAGAATATCATTTTCTTTCAAATAAAGTAAAAAAAAATACCGAGGATTCCCTTAAAAAATCAAAAGTTGTAGTCATTTTTTTACCGGAAAAATTAAAAGAACCACTTTTGAAAAACACGCCGTATCCAATCTTGATAATAAATCTGAAATATGATACTATTGGCAACAACTTATATTTCCCTATTCAAGCAACATTAAACGGGGCTATTATGGATAGACCTAATTAAGTATACACATTTGCATGCAAGGAAGCTTTACATTTGCAAAGGAGGGTAGGGAGCGTAAAGGTGATGAACCCTGCAATAGTTCAAATACCTTTAGGCGAGAAATATTACGGGTGTGGTAGTATGTAACTGTAGGGCTTGTTGTTCGGTAATTTTGTCTCAATTTATGGTATTACTTGACATTTAAGTGGATATCTAAACCTTAATTTTAGTTTAATTTGTCTAAAATTCTGTAATATTGGAAGTATTATTGAATATTGATTAAAAATATAATTTCTTTTAACTAGCATTGTGTCTGGAAAGTTTGATTAAGTACAAACCTAAAGTATGTACGGGGATGCATTTCAGAAAAATATTTTAATTTCTATAGGGTGGTCCAGAAAAGTGTGAGTGGATCGGGATTATTTTTTTAAATAGAACACCCTGTATATTACTGCATTTTAGCTTCCCTTCAGATCACTTCACATATTCATAGGATATGAGCAATTTTTTTATAGTTTCAGAGATATTAATAAATAAATAAAAAATACATATATATTTTTCAGACTTTCTTAAAAAAAATATTAAAAATACAAGAACTGTCCTGAAATCAAAACTATATTAGGTATTTACTTTAGATGGTCTAAACTTACTTTGCTATAAATATCGCAATCTTAAATCATACAGGATGTTCAAAATTCTACGCCAAACAACTGGAACGTCCTGTATATTATTTTTTTATTAGATGGAGAATTAAAAAATGAACGTTTTTTGTATTTAAAGTATTTCAGAATTTTTAATGGTTTCGCAGATACACGCAGTATTATTTCATATGGCCCTCTCCAGGGTAAAATACGAGAGAAAATTTATTGGGTGGCTTTGATAAAAATTTACTGTGGAAAATGCCATATGAAATATAAAACCGCAAATATATCTGCGAATCCATTAAAAAAATCTGTAAAAAACTTGTTTCCATATCGTACATATCGACAATAACGAAGATATTGGACTTCCTCGCACTAATGGGCCACCCTGTATGTAGATGCAACTCAGTTTCTGGTGCATATATAGGACTGCCGTCTACTAAAGAGATTACTGTGGCTCATATATGAGCCTCTTGGTAGCAAACACGTTAAAATACTAGTGTGAGTCACTGTAATATTACATTTTTTAATTTCAGATGAAAGAAATGTTAGAACGCTATTGGCCATTTGGTAGGAGTGACGATGCAAAACCTAGAGGTCTAAGAAACTTAAGATTAGAAGAACTGTTTCCAAACAAGGACTACCAAAACGTAATTATATTTAGCTATCTATGAACGCAAGGAATCAATTTTTAAGTTAATAGTTCTTCTGGCAGTATCGAACATCAAAGATTTATTTTATTTCATTCAGATGTATTAAAATTTCATCATTTTACCAAAAAATCTGTAACCAGTTTTATACAGTTTTTACAAAACTTATAAAAAAGTCAAAATTTTTATAGAAACCTTTAAAAAATGGAATAAAAAATAATGTTGAGTACATGGGCGCCGGACAGGGGGGGCAAGAGGGGGCATTTGCCCCCCCCCCTGGATCACTGAAACAATAAAAATAAAAGCTATCTTCTTACATCCATCTGTAAAAAAAATAATCATTATTATGAAATTGTTAGGTGTTACCTGTAAAATGATAAAAAATGTGGTAATTGTTAGGAAAACTGGAAATCGTCCGATTTTCACCAAAATTGGTATACACACTATTTTGAGGTCGTAGATTACGAATCTATTTTTTTCTTGGCGGTCTCTTACCGTTTTTCAGAAAAACGGAAAATTATTTCAACGTTGAATTTTTCTTTATTTCGGCCCTATAAAGTAATAATTTCACTATATTTTCATAATATTATAGTTTATCTAAAAGCCACACTTGATTGGGGATAGAAAAGTGTCCAACATTTTACTGAAAAACACTTTTCTTAACAAAATAGCAAAGAAAATTGAGACCAGATGGAAGTTTCACATTTGATATATCTTCTTTCTTCTTATTACATAAGAGAGACAAATATATTCTAGACCTAATCTAGAAATTTGAAAATTTACAACGTTGCCATTCTTCTATTTTTTCGGGTGATTAGGGATTTTAAATAAATTACCTACTATGAGATCGACAATAATTAAATATACACCTATATCCACAAAATTACGCGAAAGAGTTTTGATTGCATTGGTTTTAACTTCTTTGCGGAGGGGGTTAATCTTTTTTAGTTAATCTAATAATATAACAACAAAAGATTAACACCCTCTGCATGGAAGTTGTAACAAATGCAATCAAAACTCTTTCGTGCAACTTCGTGGGTATAAATAGTCAGATCTCGTTGGTAAAATAGCAGTTATGGGAAGGAGCCGTTCTTCTGGCGACCGCCTTTCGTAATTGCAGAATGAGCGAAAAAAACACGCTAAATTTAGGTTTAGCATTGGCAACGTTGCTTTAAATGCCAGAAACACATAAACTTACTTCGGGTTTCTCTTATTACCGATTCTGAACCGTCCTAGAACTGTGATGCGTATGCGCAGAAGGAAATATGAAGACATTATTTCATTTGCGCATGCGCTGCAGAGTTCTTGGACGGTTCAGAATCGGTAATAACAAGAACCCGAACAAAGCTATAACCTAACATTTTCAGATTGTTTACAAATTTATTTTAGCAAATTTTCCTCTATTATGCATAGAATTGGTTAAAAAGTAACAGCAAATAGCAAAAACATTATTGATTATTGAATACCTAACAAAATATGTGCTAGAAAACCTTAAAAATATGAGAAATTAAGAAAAATTCGATATTGAAATTATTTTCCGTTTTTCTGAAAAACGGTAAGAGACCGCCAAGAAAAAAGTTCAGATTCGTAATCTACGACTTCAAAATAGGGTGTATACCAATTTTGGTGAAAATCGGACGATTTCCAGTTTTCCCAATAATTACCAAAAATGTCAATTTTTTATTCATTTTTACCTTGCCCCCCCCCCTAAATTTCATTCTTCCGGCGCCCATGGTTGAGTATTTTAATCCATGTTTAACTTAACGACTTTTTTACTTGATACTTCATTATCAATATAACCGATTTAAATACTTGTATTTCATTGCAGGCCAAGAGATTCGTTGGTACTTTAGACTTAGGTCGTCCTGGTTGTGGAGCACCCATAGAAAAAGATGGTCAAAAAATGGCGAAAACCAAAGAAGATCCATTGTTGAGGTTTCAGTTCGGAAACGACTTACGTAGAGCGGTAGATAACACGTTCAGATACAAAACAAACAGAGAACAACAACTGGAATACAAAAAAGCACTTGGTAAAGAGATCTAGTACCCTTGTAGAATGTAGAATGAGTAAGAGGGGGGGGGGGTTAATCACTGCGACCTTAAAGATCTATTGTACCCCCCTTCCTTGAGTCATCACACAATCCATAACCCATCATACCTCTGTTGTAGAGGGACAGGGTATTTCCCATCCTCCTCTGACAACAGTTCTGCCTCCGAGGGTACACACCCTTCCACGGTTGGAGTTTAGCCCTCCGTGCTGCCCTTCACAGTCGAGGAGCTTGCCTCCGGCTGAGGAACCTGTGAGGTGGAGGCTGGAGGATCTGTCTCCATTTTCTCCACCTCTTTAACTTGGTCTCTCCTTAGACCTGATACCGGTGTTGTCCCGTATCTATAATAGAGGATATGTCCCTCTTTCTCTATTGCCTCCGTGGATTTGAAGTCAATTCCTATTGTGAGGACCTGACTACGACCCTCCTCTCTCGAGTTGATGACCCGCCAACTCTATGTTCTGAATGTGATTGAAGTTCTGACCATGGATAAGGCGCAGCAGGTAGGTGGTGTCTTTCACCTTGCTCCTCGGCAGAAAGACCGTGATGGCCGCCCCTTTAGAGATGTTTTCTCCCTTTACTGCAACCAGTTCCGGCCCTTGCCAATTTGTAGGCTTAGGTGCGATTTCCACCAACCAATTCGCCGATTCTCGAGATACACAATCTATGAGGATCAGGCCCACCCGAAAGTGTATCCCCAAAAACGCAGCTGACCAACATTTTGTAGATCGTTGTGTTGCGATCCGATCGCTACTACTTCGTCCAGTATAGCCTCTTCTAGAGACGTTTGCTGGTCGGTGGTCAGAGCAACCTTTGGGAAATGCTTTGGTAGCACCGCCATTTTCACTTGTCCAGCAATAGCAACAAAGCTGCTGATACGGTCCCTGCTTGCCTCCAGGTGTTGGACGGCTTTCCATCCTGGCTTTTTTCTCTCCCTGTCGAAGAAGAGGTGAGAGGTTCTCGCTCCCTCTCTTGCCCTTTGATGGAGATGAGTCAGGTTGTTTCTTGATTTCTTTACTCTCCTCTTTTCAGAGGAGTGTCTCCCCTTTCGTGGAGCAGTCGAAGGTAGCTCCGTGCTTCTGCTCTGCTAAGACCAACTCTCAGGGGATCGTCTAGCCCGCCTGGTTGACCCAGGCCAGTACCCTTACAGAATATTTTCAACAATCTAGTGTGTAAATTATTATTATTGTAATCAAGTTTTCTTGTAGATAAATTAGTTGAGGAAAAGAAGCAGAATCAGCTGCGAAAGAAACTTCTAGAACAGGAGTACGAAAAGCGCCAGGTAAGTTTTTAAAAGTTAGTTTTTAAGCCAGACGAAAAAATATTTGTTTTTGCTGACGATCTAATTTTTTTACTGAATGTCGACTTTTGAAAGTTTTAAAATCGCCTCCTTGGGGTAAGAGAGGACCAGGGGTAGACCATGGAGATCACCGAACGCCATCGGACTTGGGTTTTTAAAATCCATGGTGAGCTACACTTAGTTGGTTGTGTAGCTTACTCACTTTCTTAGACTAAGGGCTGACAAAGGTTAGTCTTGGGTCGAGATTTCCGTATGAAGAAGAGTACAATGCGTTTATAATGTACTGAACAAAGAGAGGACAGTAAACACGTTGCCAAACATATGAAATAAACCGAGAAACTGTGCACATCGCTAAGAGACGTGGAAGGAGATATAGCAGATTTGTCGCAGTTGACCGGTCGACCCAATCAATACCTCTGTCAGTACTTAAAGTTCTAGGAAAGGTGTACGTCATGCGTTCAGCTTCACGATTGAATTACGTCTCGTGATACTTAATTTGTTCATTTATTAACGAATCGTTGTAATTTTCCCTATAGCCTGAATTTTTTTAAGTGCAAGCTAGAAACACTTGCATTTTTGGTAAAAATAAGTAGAATTGAGTGGGTGTTCGATAGTGGTCGCGCTATTAGAACTCTGAATTCAAAAATCGATATCTCGAAATCTATTAGAAATAATAGATTGTAGTTTTTTCAAGAACTTTGTTAATATTTCTGCTGTATTTTCTTTGTAGACAGTACGTGAAAATCTTTATCAATAAAAAAATTACACGATTGCTGAAAATTGCTATGCTCTAAAAGTAAATGGATGGATTGTTTACAATTTTTGAATAGAAAAAACAACCTTATCGAATTTTTTTATGTAAACATATTGTAAAAAATCCGATCTTGAAAATAAAAAAAAGTTTCAATATCTAAAGTGGTTCTTGAGTTATGGCCTGTTGTGTGTTAAAAAGTTGAGTTTTTAAATTATCGCGATTTCTGACTTTTTCTCGTTATAAAAAAATGACACCCTAACGATATCCTTATAACTCCATTTCAGATGCTCAGAAACATGTCTAATGATTTTATCTAGTTATCTCTTGAAAAAAAAGTCTTTTAAAAATAAGCGGTTTGCGATCGTGATTTTACTTTACTTGATAGGGAAAGGCGTATCGGCAACGCCGCAACAGCACATCGTCGCGCGTCGCGTCGGTCGGTCACATTTCTCTCACTCCGACTTAATAAGATGCCTATGCGATTTACTTCCACACATGTAAATGCCGACCCAAAAGTAACAGTTGCCAGCACGGTATGTTTATAGTATACTTACATTTTTATACATACTCGTATAACATAATATGTAGGTGGTCAATTCATTTAATTTCAAACAATGTGTATTTTTAGGGATGGTCAAACGATGCCACTTTGAGGAAACTTGAAAACGAAGCCCTTAAAAAACCTTACGAGGATCAAAAGTAATACATGTTTTGTAAATTTTGTAACTATCGTATAATCTCTTTAAACTTAATACAGCAGTGATAATGTTCGAGTTATGTTAACAAAATAACATGATTAAAAATATTATACTATACAGGGTGGTCCGAACTGTATTTCGGAAACTTCGGCAGCCTATTTTGCAGATAAAAATAAGTAAAAAAGTTCGTATAAATGTATGTCCTAAAATGCTTCGTTTTGGAGATACAGGGTGTAGAAATTTCATTTTTATTTCGATTTTTTCCAAATAATTTCTGAAGTAAAGTCAATATTTGGATGAAAATTGGTGTCTGGGAGTTTTTTGATATGAGAAATTTCATTTTGGTGTCAATATGACTCCTATTTGTAGGGGGCGCCACCTACATCTGTTTTAACTGTTTTGAAGATTAATATCTTTTCGTCAGTACTTGTATACAACTACCGAGTGAAAAAATATACATTTACGTTATTTTTTGGCTGTACTTAAACTGCCGTTAAACGGTAGCTTACTAAAATGCCGTTAATAGGTATGACGTCGTTGATGTGACGCACTTGACGGCTTTATGAAATATAGGAATTTTATAAGGACTAACCAACGCTATCCACTCCACCAAATAACCAACTTAACCAACGCAACTATCCTCGACACTGATAAAAAAATTTAAAATACAAATATAAATTAGTAAAAATCAACCAACCCCACCAAATAACCAACTAACTGATGAATTAACACCCTCCAAATAACCACGCTAACCAACACGCCAAATAACTAAACCAATTCAACAAAAAAGAGTGAAAACAATGCAATAAGATCACGCTATAAGCAAAAAAATATATAAAAAAGTCTTGGTCGGCGTGAGATTTGAACCCCGGACCATTTGCTCTCGAAGCGATAGCCTCAGCCACGGAGCCACAGGTGCTCTTGCAAAATGCTCATGGCTAGGCATTACTTTCCGCCGACATGAACGACGTCACAATATCTATTAACGGCATTTTAGTAGGCTACCGTTTAACGGCTGTTTAAGTACACCGTTATTTTTTACGTAAAAAATGTCTCTTGGTAAAAATCGCTACGAGCAACCATTCTCAAGATATTTAGAATGGAAATAGTCAATACATGTCATTATTGACAAAAAAATCACGTTGAGTAGAGAATTTTTGAGTGAAAAACTTTCTAATTTTTTTTTAAATTAATCATAATTGGATGATAAAAAAAAAAAAAACTAAATAAAACAAAAAAAAACCAAAAAAATAAAAAAAAATAAAAAAAAAAAAATAATAATAAAAAAAATTGTAAAAAAATAAATAATAATTGTTGTAAATGCCAAATTACGAAAAGTGAGTAAAAGGCATCATCCGACTGAGCAGTATTCAATCTATATGTGGAAAAAGATCCACGCTACAACTGTAGCTACAATTAGGTGTCTTACATCTATTGAACGGGGTCCTAAGCACCACCACTGTGTAGGAATCTTTTGAATTTGTCTAAAAGGATCCAAGCGACAATTCCTTTTATATGTAGTCCGTTTTCTGTTGATTCTCTTTAAATGTTTGCTTAGCCGCGTTCATATTAAAACTACAAAACTATTATAAAAAAGAAAGGTATTAACCTAAAACGAGGGTAAACATAGGAATCAGTGAAAGAGCTAAAAGTATTGTGTTGGTTGCTTGGGAAAATATAATTTTCGAAACAATGGATAAAGGAGACTTCTATTCTCCAGAACAAACAGAGAAACACATCTGCAATAGAAAACACCGTAAACCATGTTGTAGATTTTCTTTGTGGTTACAAGTAACCAAGAACTTGGTTCTTTTTTAAAATTACAGTAAAACTTCCATATAGCGGCCACAAAAATTTTCAAAGGAATGTGGCCGTTAAGGGAAGTGGCCACTATTGGGAACAATAAAATACAGATACCAATGTAAAATGCCTTTATTTTGGAAACGTGCAAAGTAATTAAAATTAAGTACGAGCATGTAGTACAAACACACAATAAGTGTTAATAAATGATCTTCAGTTTTAGATTTTGGCACAAAAAAATAATTCAGTTGTTACAAAAAAAAAACTTTATTACATAAGAATTTTGAAAAAAACTTACAATGTATACATATGTATTTTTACATAGGTATTCTTATATACATATGTACAATTGACTTTAAAAAGTTACAAAATGATAACCTTATTTTATATGGTGAAAAACTGATTAATGGTAGTCTGCTTTAAATTTTTAATTTTGATTTTTGTAATTTCACTTTCAAATTTCATCAAAGTATGGGCAATATCAACCGCTAGTTCGTCTTTGTTTTGAATCACCAAAAAATTCTGAATGTCTCTTAATTTTTCACATACTTCACTCATATTATTTATAGATGAACACAGAATGTCTTGGCCTTCATCTTCTTCCTCTTCGGCTTGAGTGGAGTCCTGTCTGTCCTTGTTGTTTGTAAATTCCTGGATTATTCCCTGCATCTCTAAACTAGGATTTTCCGTAGGGACATCTGAATCGACTGTCAGATATTCTTTAAGATCTGGACTTCCTGGCATGTTTTTTAAAATTGAAGATAACTGACTTAAAGGAATGTCGTCCTCTTCGTCAAATGCATCGTCCCCTTTGACGGTTGCAAATCCCGCTTTTTGGAAACATTTTTTTATAGTGTTCGATGTAACATTTTTCCATGCTGTACTTATCCACACCATAGTACTTGCCAAATTTATGCTCTCTTTAGCCTTTTCCATCGTTTCTTCGGTATTAGTAAAAGTCAAAAGTCTTTTAATAAAAAATTGACGATATTTTAATTTAAAATTTTGAATAATTCCTTGGTCCAACGGCTGGCAATGAGATGTCGTATTTGGAGGAAAAAAAATTATACGAACATTTTCAAGTTCTATTTTTGGGTGAGACGTGGCATTATCCAAAAATAAAAGAACTTTTCTACCCTGCCGTTTCATTTTGGTGTCAAAGGTTTTGAGCCAAGATGTCATTATATCTGTCGTCATCCAAGCTTTTTTGTTGGATACCCATTCTATCGGCAATTTATCTACATGCGCTCCTTTAAAACATCTCGGGTTTTTGCTCTTACCTATAACTAGCGGATTTTCCTTCTCACCATGCATGCTGCAACAGAAAAGCAGTGTCACTCGTTGTTTAGCTGATTTTTTGCCAGCACATTTATCATTCTTTAAAGCAAAGGTTTTGTTTGGCATTGCCATATAATAAAGCCCTGTTTCGTCTGCATTAAAAATGTCTTTAGTGTCGTATTCCTTAATGATTGCTGTTAATTTTGTTTTCCAGTCTTCAACAGTCACTTCATCCACATCTGCAGACTCACCACAAATTGTTTTGAAGTTAATATTATGTCTCTTGCAAAACTTATTTAACCAGCCAGTTGAAGCCTTAAATTCACTAAGTTTCAAGGATGTAGATACCTCAAGAGCTTTTTCCCGAATTAAGGTTCCCGATATGGGTATGTTTTTGTTCCTTGCCTTACAAAACCATTCGTAAACTAGTTGATCGATTGCAAATCCTTCTGTTTTAGGAAACTTTCGTTTTTTATCTGCATTGCATCCTTCTTCTTCAAACATTTTTTTTAATTCCACTTTGTTTTTTAAAATGTCGTTCACTTGCGTTCTTCCAACACCAAACTTTTCCGCCAACTTTCGAGCACTGCTGTTATATTTTTCACTTTCCGCGACAATATTTAATTTCTCTTTAATAGACAAATGTTTACGTTTCAAAGACATGGTTGCTGTTCTTTCAAAGTAAGAAACTAAACTGATTCTATATCTCCCAAAAATTTCAGCAAACTACTGACGAATTTGTATTGTATTTGTCACTCTCTGTACCTACTTCTCAAACAAATTACAAATGTTTATTGCTTGGAATTTCCTAAAGTGTCCTGAAACAGCTCTTGTTAGACAAAAAAAAAGGTTCGAAGGGTTCGGTTTTTGGCCGGTATTGGGGCAATAAATTTAATGGGGTTTTCCCTAAAATGTACCTTTGAAGCGGCCGGTGACCGCTTTCGGAATTAACGTTATTGAGAAATATTTTAATATAGGAATTTCCCTAAGATTAATTCAAACAACTGAAAATTGACCGCTAACAGAAGTGACCGCTTTTTAGAAGTGGCCGAAATGGGAAGTTTTACTGTAATAACAGTACTCCGGTATTTCTTAAAAAAGAATTATGCACCAAATGTTTATTAAAATGTGTAAAGTTTGAAGCTGTGTTTCGTCAATTTGTTCTTTTACTCTTAAATCAATTTTGTCATAAATTGTGGATACCTACATTTTTCTTGATAGCTCAACAAAGAGAGATAGAGCTCGCTCATACGTTAAAAGGCAATATCTCAAAATCACAGTTTGGCGCTTGGGTCCTTTTCGATTAGCATTATCCAATTTTTTCTGCAAAAAATGATAATAAAACAGTTTCTGTTGAACTTTTGACACAATAACATTTTAAATTTATGATTTCAGTCTATTGTTTAATTAATGTCAATGATGACAGGTATTGATAAATTCGATTCCAAATATTTCGAGAACCGTTACTCGTAGAGATTTTACCAAGAGACCTTTTATACGTAGAAAACTTACATATTTTTTTACTCAGTAGTTTTATACAGGTACGGACGAAATGTTATTACTCTTCAAACCAGTTAAAAAATATATAGGTGGCGCCCTCTACAAGTAGGAGTGCTATTGACATCAAACTCAAATTTCTCATGTCAAAAAACTCCCAGACACCAATTTTCACCCAAGTATTGATGTTACTTCAGAAATTATTTGAAAAAAATCGAAATAAAAATGAAACTTGTACACCCTGTATCTCCGAAACTAAGCATTTCAGGATATACATTTACACGACCTTTTTTACTTATTTTTATCTGCAGAATATGCTGCCGAAGTTTCCGAAATACACTTCGGACCACTCTGTATATTAAAATAAAAAATGAAATGTTTAAATTTTGAAAATCACTGTTTTTTTTCGTTTTTTTTTTCTAAATTTAATTTGCTACCTAACTACCTATGTTGCCATATTATCAACATATTATGTTTTTTTAACTTAAAGTTTAAAAATTTAAAAAAAAACATGATATTCATCATGCATACTAACCTTCACCTGAAACGAGAGACTCCTGTATATTTAAAGAATAAAATATGTAACACGAATCATTTATTACAGAAACTACGAAAACTTCAAGAAATCCAAAGTTATTCCACCAAACCGTGTGGTAAAACTTGACCCTATTATCTACCCGTCCAACACTAAAAAGAATTCGGTAGTTCCCCCAAATAACAGAAAACTCTCGCCACTTTCGGACAACAAGGAAAATGGCGTGGAGTTGGTACAACTGTTGGCCAAAGACAGAAAGTTACCACCCAGGGTACCACTGTGTAGTACTGATGTCACTAAAGAACGAGACCTCAGGTAAATAATAGTATATACTGTTTCATCATTGGAGGATATTCATTAATATTATTACTGTTAATTTTTTTAGCAAATCATACCTCTGGAACAGAGATGGATCCGCATATTTGAAAGAACTGTCACAACAAATGATGTCAAAGAGGGAAAGATCTCAGGTGATTTATTTAATATAACATCATGTTAATAACTGTAGTCACAGCAGTTTGTTTTTTTTCAAGATATTGACAAAATTTTTAAAAAATACATTGAAAACAGATGTTCATTATTTTATTTAGTTGTATACAGGGTTGTTCACCACATACGACACGGAGTATTGTAGCTAAACGATTAGATTTTTACAAATTGTAAGTTTTGGGTTCGTTGAAGGTCTATTAGAGCTACAATTTAAAAATATTTTTACAAAATACAGAGTGTCCCAAATAAGTAAAAAATATTATAGTTGTATTTTTTTAAACGGAACACCCTGTATATTATTCTATTTTTGGATTCTACGATTGAAATAAAGGTAAATTTGATTAAGGTTTATCACACTTAAACATTACCGTTTTTGAAATATTTTCAATTTTGTGAAATTGCAGTAAAAATTTTAAGGCTTTATTTCTGTTATTTCAGTAAATATTTAATATCAAAGTTTTTAATATTAAATATTTACTGAAGATTATTTATTGATAAGATATTGTGTTGCAATAATAAAAATTTTACTACCTTATACAGAGTGTCCAAAAATTTATATTAAATAATTACTAGCTTTAAACGGAACACCCTATATATTTTACGTGAATCAGATGCACAATGTAATTGTCTATCAAATTGTATTATACCATTATTTACCCATCTCTTCGAGTTTTCGTAGAAAATGCACTTTCTTATAATTTAGACCTCATTTATCACTATACCCATGGAATATTGACATTTCAGATTTTTTTATAGCACCATAATATGTACAAAATGTACAGGTGGTAAATACTGCAAGCCCATTGGCATAAAAAAAGCTATTTAAATCTTTGTAAAAGAGTATACCAATTAAATATACCACCATTATTTCCTACCAAAAACACCAAAACTTAAATTGTTTTAATTAATAAATTATTCTAAATAAATGTGGATTTGGCTCAGAAATCAATATAATAATAAGTTATGAAAATGAATGTGTCTGTTTTTATAAATAAGCATTCGTCAATAAATGAAATAAAATTTATAAGGTGTTACTTTTTACCACACTGTCTAATACACACACAAAATTCAGTTTTTAGTATTTGGAGCAATTGTTACTACAACGTAAACAGTCAATTAATGTAGTTTAAATACTGGGATCATATTAATTGGTCCTCTGTAACAAAAATATTTAAACAGATTTTTTATTTTTTAATTAAATAAGCGAACTATATCGACAATATTAGTATCTGTACCCTTTGAAAATTTGTTACATCTTTAAAAATAAGCTAAAATGTCAATATTCCATGGGTATAGTGATAAATGAAGTCTAAATTATAAGAAAATGCATTTTCTATGAAAACTTGAGGAGATGGGTAAAAAATGGAACAATACAATTTGATAGACAATTACATTGTGCATCTGATTTACGTAAAATATATAGGGTGTTCCATTTAAATTAAACAAGTTGTTGTCGTTTAAAGCTAGTAATTATTTAATATAAATTTTTGGACACTCTGTATAAGGTAGTAAAATTTTTAGTATTGCAACACAATATCTGATCAATAAATAATCTTCAGTAAATATTTAGTATTAAAAACTTTGATACCCTTGGAGAAATGAAGCCTTAACATTTTTACTGCAATTTTATAAAATTGAAAATATTTCAAAAACGGTAAGGTTTAAGTGTGATAAACCTTAATCAAATTTAGAATCTAAAAATAGAATAATATACAGGGAGTTCCATTTAAAAAAATACAACTATAATATTTTTTACACATTTGGGACACTCTGTGTCTTGTAAAAATATTTTTAAATTGTAGCTCTAATAGTCCTTCAAGGAACCCAAAACATACAATTTGTAAAAATCTAATCGTTTAGTTACAATACTCCGTGTCGTATGTGGTGAACAACCCTGTATAGGGTGGCGCACCTCATATGCCTCGGTTGATTATACGAAAACGGAAAGATGTAGAAACAAAATATTTTATGGGTATATGTGGGGAGGCAATGTGCACAATTTAAAATTATTTTGAAATATACAGGGTGTCTCAGAACTAAGATCCATATCAAACTTATATTTTTTCTTATGGAACACCCTGTATTTTTATTTCATTTTTAGGATTCTTGGGTCCAAAAAAGACATTTATTATAAGGGTTAAATATGTTTAAAATAATTGGTTTTTGAGATATTTAAAGATATTTAAATATGCACGCTACAAGAGAATTGATTATCAATACCCTGTACATTACTTTTCAGAATTAATTCTTGTGCTGAGTTTAAAGGCAAAGAAATAAAGTTTACTCAAAAATGTTGTTGCTTCCTTAAATTTATACAGGGTACCAAAAATTAGTGACCTATTTTAAGGATTTATTTTACATAAAAACTTTGTTATTTCAAATACAACACCCTGTATTTTTTTTTAAATAAATCGAGGCAGATTCAAATGCTCTATAATCAACCGAGGCGAATGAGGTGCGCCACCCTGTATTTTCTGAACAACTTTGCTGTGACTAGAGATGTTTTAAACCTATTAGAGTGTAAATTATGCATGCATTTATTTTTTTATTTTTTTTTCAATTCTGGTACCATGTTGTTAGAATATTTTTAGGGGTGTAGTAAAACAGACTAGTCACAAGCTATATCCACCTAAATATTAGATAAAGTTACATTTATATAAAATTGTTTAGGCGAAATTATTTATAGTCTACGAACCATTATACAATTTTTTTTTAAATTAAAAAAAACAAAAAAATCACAGTTAATTTTACGTAGGATTGACTGCAGCAAACCGTTTAACGTTAAAGTTATTTGAGAAAATCTACTAAAGAAAAAAATATACGTTTACCCGTTTACCAGAAAGCATCAAAGTCAAAATGTATATATCTGATTGTAAGATGTTTGTATTATGAAGCTCAAATTCCAAACCTAAAACACACATCTAAAAGAAACAAGAAGATTAATCAAGCTAGTAGAAGCTCACAAAGAACGCGACCATGTGCAAATAGATACCTACAAATCATTATCTTGCACTGAAGAACAAAATTAGATAGAGCACAATAAGGGCACAAGAAACAAGATTCAAAACCGAATTCTTACAGAGAAATCTCTGTTTCAGTGCGATCACAACTCCATTTTGAAATTTCTTGACCCGGACAAGACCTTTGAAATAGAAACTGAAGTTTCAAGAAATGGTTTGGGATCTTGTTTACTACAAGATGGGCATCCTCTAGCTTATACATCTAGAAACTTGAGTTTGCGAGAAAAGAACTATACTCGAATCGAAAAAGAAATGCTAGCTCTCATTTTTGGACTGGGAAAGTTCAATTTTCTGATTGGGGAACTTCATGTGAACGTTATTACTAAATATAAACCTTTAGAAGGCGTGTTTTGTAAGGATTTGAGCTCACTGACTCCAAGATTACGAAAAATGAAACTATGTCTTTTAAACTATAACTTTACAGTATCGTACAAGCCTGAAAATGATTTAAACACATCTTCTCACACTCACCTACTTCAAAATAGCCTAGATTATGACTATATCGTTCACTGTATTGATAAATACATGCAACTCTCAGACAAGAGCAAGACTGAATTTCAAAATGCCCTAAACACAGACTGTGATCTAAAATTGGTACTTGATTACTGTGAAAAGGGCTGGCCCAAACACAAGAGACAAGTACCTGTTAATATCTGGAATTACTTTCCTTTAAAGCGTAATCTTTTTGTGTGTGATAACCTTTTGTTTTTGTACGACAAAATGGTGGTGCCGTCAGATCTACGACAACCAGTGCTTAGTATACTGCACGAAGGTCATTTTGATATTGACAGAACAAAGTCACGAGCTAGACAGTTATTTTTTTGGCCAAAAATGTTAACTGATATAGAGTCTTTCGTAAATAGATGTAAAGTATGCGAGACTAGATCTAAAAAAAGAAATAAGGAGATTGTGTTGGCACATCATTTTCCTGAAAAACCTTGGGAAAAAATTACTATAGATATTTTTAATTATTGCAATAAAAACTACTTAGTTTTGTTTGATGCGTTTTCTAACTGGTTAGAGTTGGTTCCTCTCAAAGAAAAATCAGTAAAAACTCTTATCTCATTAATGAAATCAATTTTCTCTACTCACGGACTACCAAATAAGGTTATCTGCCAGAACAAGCCTTTTGACAACATTGAATTTAAGTCATTTGCAGCAGACTGGAATTTTTCATTGGTAAGAAATGTCAATTGTCAACGTTTAAACGGATTGACTGAAAGGGGTGTAGAGTTAGGGAAAAATATAGTCAAGGAATGTATAAAAGATGGTATGGATATTGAGTTGGCTCTACTGCAATACAGGAATACGCCTTTGAAGTATATTGGGTATTCTCCTTCGCAACTGCTTATGGGTCGGACATGTAGAACCAAATCACCTAGGAACTTAGCTACGCCAATTGAATCAGATTGAGAAGAGATAATAAAAGATAGAAAAAATAAATACATAGAAAATATTTTATAGAAATATATATATGAACTAAAATATGGAACTATATGAAGATGTTATTAAGAATTTTATTTAAATAGATATTTATCATTGTTAACATTTCTTTCATTCATAATTCTGTCTATTAATACTTATATATCATCATCATCATCATTTTCAGCTTATTCAACCATTTCCAATTATGTTGTAGTCTCCCTCACATATTTAGGTACTCTTTTTGTGGTCAACTCAGGTTCGGTCTTCTTCTAGGTCTCTTAATTGTTCGTGGGTATCATGCTGTAATTTTTGTGGTTCCCCTGTTGTCCGTCCTTCTTGCCAGGTGTCCTGTACATTGCCACTTGAGGGATTTGACTCTGTGGATGACATCTATTGTCTGGGTCTTTTGTCGTATCCACTCTATTCTTTCACAGTCTCTCTTGGTGATTCCCAGCATATTTCGTTCCATTGAGCGTTGTGCGACCTGCAATTTTCTTATGATGTCCATTTTAAGTGTCCAGGTTTCGCATGCATAGATCATGACTGGTAGTGTACATTGGTCGAATGTTTTCTTCTTTAGATAAAGTGGAATTCTGAACATGATTGAGTTTTCTCCAAGATTGAGTTTTTTTTAAGCCGTGCTAAGTTTCTTCTAATATTTCCAATGTTGTGTTATTTTAAAATGTCTTTTCTGTTTACTAGTTTATTATGCATTACTTTAGTTTTTTCTAATTCATTTTGAGGCCTACTTCATTTCTGGCTGTATTTACTTTGTTAAATTCTTCAGGACTATTGTCAATTAGGACTATGTCATCAGCGAATCTTAGATGGTTACTCTCCTGATATTCTCCATCTAAATATATTCAATCCTTTGTTAGTCCAGTGTAGCTGACAGAAGATTTCTTCTAGTATTTCCGTAAACAGTTTTAGAGTTAGATATATTTAGATATTTTAAATATTTCTTTAGTTGTTTTTTTTGCTTCTGATAATGAATTAGGAAGATATGCAGGGCTGTTCACCACATACGACACGGAGTATTGTCGCTAAACGATGATATTTTTACAAATTATAAATTTGGGGTTCGTTGAAGAACTATTAGAGCTACAATTTAAAAATATTTTTACAAGATACAGAGTGTCCCAAATAAATAAAAAATATCAAAGTTATATTTTCTTGAATGGGACACCCTGTATATTATTACATTTTTAGTTTCTACGATTAAAATAACGGTAAATTTGATTAAGGTTTATTACACTTAAACCTTACCTTTTGAAATATTTTCAATTTTGTAAAATTGCAGTAATTTTTTTTTCATTTCTCCAAGGGTATCAAAGTTTTTAATACTAAATATTGACTGAAGTTTATTTATTGATCAGTTATTGTGTTGCAATAATAAAAATAATACTACCTTATACAGAGTGTCTAAAAATTTATTTTAAATAATTATCAGCTTTAAACGGCAATAACTTGTTTAATTTAAATAAAACACCCTGTATATTTTATAAGAATCAGATGCACAATTGAATTGTCTATCAAATTGTATTATACCATTTTTTACCTGTCTCTTGAAGTCTCCGTAGAAAATGCATTTTCTTGTAATTTAGAACTTATTTATCAATATACCCATGGAATACTGACATTTTAGATTATTTTTAAAAATGTACCAAATTTTTAAAGAGTAGAGATATTAATATTGTCGATATAATTCGTTTATTTCATTGAAAAAATTAAAAAAAACTGTTTAAATATTTGTTAAAGAGGACCAATTAATATGATTCCGGTATTCAAAATACATTAACTGACTGTTTGCGTTGATTAATAATAATTGTCCCAAATACTAAAAAACTGAGTTTTCTATGTGTATTAGTCAGTGTGGTAAAAACTAACACCTTAAAAATGATATTTCATTTTTTAATAAATGCTTATTTGTAACAACAGAGACGTTCATTTTCATAACTTATTATTATATTGATTTCTGATTCAAATCCACATTTATTTAGAATAATTTATTAACGAACACAATTAAGTGTGTAATTAATTAATATTTGGGTGGAAATAATGGTGTTATATTTAATTAATGGTATATTCTTTTATAAAGATTTAAATAATTTTCTTTTTGCATACAAATGGGCTAGTAATATTATCGTTTAACTAAAAATCATTTTGTACATTTGTTGCTTTAAAAACAATCTAAAATGTCAATATTCCATGGGTATATTGATAAATGAGGTCTAAGTTTTAAGAAAATGCATTGTCCACGAAAACTTAAAGGGATAGGTAAAAAATGGTATAATACAATTTGATAGAAAATTAAATTGTACATCTGATTCTCTTAAAATATACAGGGCGTTCCATTTAAATTAAAGAAGTTATTGGCGTTTAAAGCTACAAATTATTTAAAATAATTTTTTAGACACTCTGTATGAGGTAGTATTATTTTTATTATTGCAACACAATAACTGATCAATAAATAAACTTCAGTAAATATTTAGTATTAAAAACTTTGATACCCTGGGAGAAATGAAGCCTTAAAATGTTTACTGCAATTTTACAAAATTGAAAATATTTCAAAAACTGTAAGGTTTAAGTGTGATAAACCTTAATCAAATTTACCTTTATTTTAATCGTAGAAACTAAAAATCTAATAATATACAGGGTGTTCCATTTAAAAAAATACAACTTTCATATTTTTTATTTATTTGGGACACTCTGGATCTTGTAAAAATATTTTTAAATTGTAGCTCTAGTAGTTCTTCAACGAACCCAAAACTTACAATTTGTAAAAATTTAATAGTTTAGCTATAATACTCCGTGTCGTATGTGGTGAACAACCCTGTATACCTATTAAAAACGTTAAGTATATTTTGTAGTTGAATTTAAATTTGTTTTGCAAGCAAAAAGTCACTGAAAAGCTGGTTTTCGTTTGGTTTAAACGCCAGTGGTGTTTACAAAAAATAACTTTTTATTTTGTAGAAAGTAGAAAATTTTCAAAAAATAGTACGTAGCACATTTTTAGAGTATATGTTTATTATTTTAAATTAAAGGAACTAAAAGCAATGGAAGACGAGACTGCTAGACGTCACTTTTCTACTTGGACTTCTTTGTGGGGAAGACCAGGACATGGTGCTCCTCGATCAGCTACCAAAAAGGCAGCAATTGACAGACTGCTCTATCCACAAATGGTGCCCATCGGCGTTGCCTAAGAGACTCCACGAGACACAACGAAACTAAAGCCAAAATTTCAAGAATAGTTATAGTTCTGAATAGTGCTTTAGAGAGCATAATTCAATTGTCCACATTTTTAATTATATTATTAATAGTAATAGTATAGATTAGAAAATATATACTGAATGACTGGTTATTAGGATAGAAAATTTAAAGATTTTTTTTTTATTTCCTGTTACAAAACTGAACTATATTATAAATAATTTAGAAACAATAAACCTTAAACCATAAATTAAATACTGATTATTACAACCATTTATACCAATTTTTACCCCTAACACACTAAATATTTTAGATCATATTCTTCAAAACTAAAAAAAGGAAATTTTTTTAAACAAGAATTATTTTTAAAGTGATTTAATAATGTTTCATGCTTTGTAATTTATTGTTTATGTATTTAAAACAGTGCAGTGTATTAAAACCTTTCTCTAATAACGTGGGAACCAACAATATTAAAATTAAATTTGATATACCTATTGTTTCTATTGTTATAACAATTTTTCTAAGGTTCAGAAGGTTGTTGCCTTGCCATCAGTTCAATATTATTTCTAAAATAGATTTTAACATGCAGTCTCATAAAAGGGGTTTCCCGTCTTATGCACTGTTGATGTCTCATGACACCAATAACAGTAGATAACCTTAAAATGTTTATACAGGGTGTCCCAGAAATAAGTGCAAGTATTTTAAGGGGTGGTAGATCTCGATAAAAGAAACATATTTTCTCTTTATCGTTTTTCACGTTCGAGTTATTTTACCCTGAAAACTTCCAAAAAAAAATGATTTTTTGCTAAAATTTTGAGAACCACTGGATCTTTTCTGGATTTTCTTTCTTGTAAATTTAATCTAATACCTATGTTGCCATATTATCAAAAAAATTATGTTTTTTAACGAAAAACTAAAAAAAAATTCCAAACAATTTTACAAAAAATTTCGAATTTTCAATTTTTTTTTCGCGAAAAAAACCTCAGACGTGTTTCTGGGTTTGATCTATACTACCAGTTAAAATATTCGCACCTATTTCTGGGACACCCTGTATAGTTTCGAGTTTAATACCGGGTGTTTCTCAAAAGTGGATCACCCCTATAACTTTTTTACTTTTCAGATAAAAGATTTGTTACGTTAGTATATGACATAAATCAGAATTGATTGACGTATTCAATTGTTTTCGGCCACTTCCTGTTTTACCGGAAATTACTACAACTTTTGTATTTTTTACTTTATTCGATAGAAAATGACACTCTGAATAGAATGACATATCATATGTCAACTTTTGACATTCTCAAGTCTTCAATCTAAAGTGCCATGGCTGTGTTAAAACACTATTTTTTAATCAACAAGCCTTGGAAAAATATATTTGATCGTCTAATGTCTTAGTGTCTTGTTCTGGCCGATTAAAAAATGCCCAAATCGTATTTTTAATCATATCTCAATTTTTCCAAATAGAACAGGGGTGGCTCCTTAGCATATTTGGAAAGACCATTTTTTTACGAATAATTTGGTACCACACACTTGGTATTTCGGGTCAAATTGTCGTTATGAACAGTATATTACAATTTCAAATAAATCCTATGCGAAAATGTCAAAAGTTGACATTTGAGTTGAGGCTTTAAAAAATGAATTTAAAATTTCTGGAGTGGGCTGTGTGAAAAACAGGAAAAAGGAGCCTAGGAAAAATATATTTGATCGTCTAATGTTTTTTGTGTCTTATCCTGGCCTGTTAAAAGATGCCCAAATCGTATTTTTAATCATAATTCATTTTTTTCAATTGGAACATTAGCATAGGTACTCGCTCATTAGCATACTTGGAAAAGGCAATTTTCACAAATATTTTGGTACCACATACTTGGTACTTTGAGTCAAATTGATATTCAAAATGCCTTTTTTAATTGAAAATATCAAAAACTAACAGAATATGATATGTTATTAGATATTGTTACGTTTTTCGTCGGTTCCGTGTGGATAGAAAGTCACAATTTATTTAAACACTATTTATTTAACACTAATTAACAAAAACAATAACGATAAAAGACTTATAGAACTATTTACAAACGATTTATAACTAAGAATTTATTTTGAATTTTAGCGCGTCAACTGCACTGGTATATTT